ATTGTCTCCCTCTGTGACTTTATTGCCTGAGATCTGGGAAAGACAGAAAACTGAATAGACTTGTACATAAATCTGGACTCTAAACCAGTTAATGGCTGAGCACCCCCTCACTTAGCCCCCCCTCCCCTCCCCTCCCCTCCAGGAAAATAGAGGTCACCTTTCAGCATAGATAGATGATATCATGTGTTTTGTCTCCCTTTTAAGCATGTCCTGGAATGTTTTTCCAAGAGAGATAAGGTGAGGCTATCAGACTGTGTGTTCTCTTTGCCCCCTGCGTTTATATACTCCATTCCTATTGTTATCAATGGGAAACTGAGCGCTCATCATTTCCTTTAATGATCTTTCCCCCTATTACCCGTACTGCTAGAACTAAATGTATATTATTATTATTATTATTATTATTATTATATAACGTCAACAAATTCCGCAGCACTGTACAAAAAATATTCTTTGAGAAATGATATCCCTCTTAGACTGTAAGCTCGTTTGAGCAGGGACCGTCTGCTCAGGTATGTCCAACATGTGTTGTTTCTACTATATGTTTGCTTGTCTGCCTGTTATACAGTTATTATTATTATTATTATTAGGCGCCAACATGTTCGGCAGCGCTGTACAAAAGTTCTAGTAATAATAATAATAAAAATACAACCAAAGGCTTATAGCAGGTAGATCAGGAGTCTTATACCGGAATCACCACTTCTCTGCAGATTGCAACGTTCGATAAAACATTGAAAAAGTTTTTTCTTGTGATGCTAGATTTTCTTTAAAGTGCATATTAAAGATTTTGCAACTGACATCAAAGTCTTGTCTAGTCACAGCCAGGACACACAATACAAATTTCTTTGTTTAGGTTTCTTTATTTTCGTTGTCTGTTCAATGGTGAAAAGGAGCTACATTTAAAACAGTGATTGACTGGGAGCCAAGATGGAGGTGTCAAGTTTCGGAATGATGTATAGATTTCTTGACTGAATTATTTCTTTCTGACTTTACAAAACTATGTTTGCCTAATATATGGATAATAAGTAACTATAATATTACAAATCCTGGCAATTGTTAGTTCCCCTCTAAGCTTGGTAAAGCACAATAGAAGCTATAGCTCTTTAGCAACTGTTGGTCAACTTTTTGACCACCATAACTTTGATAAATGTAAAATCTTAGCATTGTAGACTGTGAGGGTGAGAAATTAACCTGTGCTCCGGCACAATGGCCAGACGCAGGAAATAAAGCAATGGATACATAAACAGTGGGACTGTTATTTGTGGGTTTGGTGTACCAGCTGTGTTATTTAAACGCAAGGTGCACTGCGCTAAGCCACTTAGAGGGTCATCTGCAACATCTTTGGCAACAGATACACTTTTTCTCGTTTTGATGCTCTGTATTGGAAGCAGCTGTCAAATTAGGTGTGTCTGGGGTGGTAAAAAAAAAACTCGACAGTGCTTGTAAAAGGACATACCCTTGGAAAGACTAGCAGCAGGGTTAATCATTAAACTGCGTTGCAGTGAATTCAAATCCAGATTGCAACACAGGTTGTGAACGGTAGTTTTAAGATGTTCGCCATTCAGCTATAAAACTGTAGTCAATTGAATTATTTATTTTATTTTGCTGGAGAATTTTAGATGCGAGAATACCAGAGTATTGCAGTATGCAATGATACCTTGTTTATTGGGCTAACATAATATTTCAGAGACAAGCTTTCAGGAGTTTTCTTCCCTTGTCTTAGAAATATTATGTTAGTCCAATAAAAAAGGTATCATTGAATACAGCAATACTCTGGTATTTTGGCATCTTGTCTACTGGACTAATATGGCTAATCCAATCTACATGGCTTTAATAATACATATATGGTTTACAATTCACAGTTTAGTGCATGTGCCCCTAAACGAAGACATTGATCAGCTGCCTAGCTAGCCATTTGGTTTATGGTTCTTGAAACAGAACCTTAAAATCTCTTGACTACTTATAGCTGTAACATGAGGTCTTTTTGGTTACATTCATGCACATAAACAGCTGTGTTAGGCCCTTGTAAAAGTTTTTTAGTTTTTTTCATAAACCATAATAAAGGAGGAATTATCGCTAAGTGTGAACTCTAGTTTAATTACAAGTGTTTGCTCTATGACAACGCACCATGCCCTGAAGTTATAGGTGTTGGAAAAAGATTGGCTTTGCACTCTGAATACAGACTGTTTGTACGTAAAAAAACAAAAAACTTCTACAATATCGTATTATACAACACTAGGTGTGCGTACTAAATTCCTCATGTGACTCAATGGGCGGTGTCCCTGGAGTTCCTGAAACATTTCGTGTCAGTTTGTACTCAAAATGTGGACGACTGCAAGTTCTAACTAAACGTATTCTGAATCCTTGCTGAATGTAATCCTGGAAGAATTTAAACCTGCAGGTCATGATTTTAGTCTGAGCATGCTTGGAACAGGAGTGTTCTGCAACATTAACGATTTGTTCACAGAATTGGGGATTTGACAGCTAAAGGCTTATAATGCAATGTGGTATATTGGTTTTGCTTTTTGACTCAGCTATTTTAGTTTACATTTTGTTGATAAGGGGTTTACTTGCAAACCTTGCAGTTCTGGAGAATTGACAAAGGAAACCTCAGATTGTAGCGAATTGAAAACCAAAATGCAGGATTCAGCGTGGGAACTGTAAAGTCAATTATTGTGGCCTAACTGTTGCAATTCAGTTTTCAATTCAGTGATTTATTGCTAGCCTTATAGTACCCTCTGCCCCCCTTGAGACCCTCTGCTCAGCATTGAAAGTGTTAAAAGCCCTTTTGTTCCTTACCTGATTCTAGCACTGATGTCCCTCCACTCTTCTTCAGCTGCGGCGAGCGCCATGATCACATTATGACTTCCTCATAGGAAAGCATTGAATTAGTGCTTTCCTTTGTTGTTTAAGATGACGCTGGATGTCCTCATAGAAAAGCGTGAGGACGTTCAGTATTGTTAAGCGGACCAAAGGTCCACTAAGACCCTGGTAGACAGCCACTAGAGGTGGAGTTAACTTTACAAGGTAATTATTGCAGTTTCTCAATAACTGCTGTAGTTACAATTGCAGGATTAAGGGGACAGGGACACTGCACCCAGACCACTTCAATGATAAAGTCTATAGTGTCTCTTTAAGGTTTGCTGGAGGAGTTCAGAGTCCCATGATGTTCTTAGAGACTTGCACATCTACTGTGAAATACCATACAAGCATTTCTTCAGATGGGCTGTTTGCTATTATCGCCTTAAGGTTTCTAGAGGTTACGTTAATTTACATAGAATGCCCTTGTTGTGCCAGGACAGACAGGCCAGATATAAAATATAAAACTAACTATTTCCATCACTTTCAAACATACCAGCACAGCCCCCCAGCTAAATTTTTATTAGCTATCGGGTTGTACCAAAACCCCGCATTTGACAGTTCTCCTTTAAGGAAGAGGTAAAATGTACAGAAAATGGCTGCCAGGGAGAGGTGAATGAGACAGAGAGAGAGACTAATGGCAGTCTAAAATATTTGTAATAGATGTTTTATACTGACCTTTCGGATAACTTCAGCTGCTGTCTGTACCCTTTGGCAATGAAAAGGTATAATGTGATTGGCTCTTGGCTGAATGGGAACATTCTACACGCAATGGGAAAAAAGTGAGTTCTTGATAAATGGATTATAAGAAGCACTGTAGAAATTATGAATCAGATTTTGTAAAGCCCTGGTCGGCTGTAGATAAGTGAAGGAATCTTTTCTGAGATTTTATAGCAGGGTACCTATTTTTAGCTAGCAAATAACGGAAGACAGACAAGTTTTACCTTGAAAAAGCCTCTAAAAAATATTGTCTTGTTTTATGTTGTTATCAATATGAACATTATTGTGGCCACTGACTACATTGAGGATTGCAGAGAGTCAAGAAGAGAATTTCAAATTTCAAAGCTGAGTTAGAAACTGAGCTCAACAGTTTCCCAAAGGTTGGTATTGGAATCCATTGTTGCACATGTTTCTAGGTTTGGTGTTTATTCAATAAATAGGGAAATGTACAGAAATGAAGAAGGAATTTATACATTTCCGGTCAAAATTGCTGATCAGTAAAACAGCTGAGCTGGAGATATATTTGAGTTCTTTTTTTTTTATTTGAAATTCCCTTTTCAACTCTCCATCATTTTGGGGTTTAATGAAAAGACTGTATATGTAAATATTGAAAAGCAGTGGATAACATGATAAATCAGTCTTAGTTCATGTGGAAAAGATGACAAGGTATTCTCTCACCATGTACCAGGACGTGTTGTGGTGTTAAAAATCTCTAAGTGATGTGATATTTTTGTGCACATTTTTCATTGCAAGTCATATCCCAGGATATTTGTTAAACTAACACCTCTGTCCCTCCGTTCCTATATTTCCTAGACAAGTTCAAGATATGCTTGATAGATAAATGTCACAGCAACTACAGAGCATGTACTGTAGTTGCTGTGCCAGAGAAGGAACCACCGGTAGGATGGTTTTAATGCTCTCCCCTTCATTCGGGGAAGAGGTTTATGTCAACTCTATCATGAAAATTGATTGTCAGTTGGAGAAGGGACCCTATCTTTTGATATATTCATTATAAAATCTATATATCGCGATTTTGCTAGCACTATGTATAGATGAAATGTTATATAAATCTATTTTTACAAAGTTATGTGTACTGTAACAGGTACTTCTTAACCTTCTGTAGCACTTTTAATCATTTTGAATAATCAATGCTGGAGTGGTAGTTCAGTTGTCAGCTTTCTGTTGTAGAGAGTAAATGGATGGAATACAATTCCCAGGATCCCCAGGAAGTATCTTTCTTTTATTTTTTTAGCAAAGAAAGAAAACTGTGAAGAAACAGAAGGGTGTGGTTTTTGTGTAAATGTAGTTTTTCAAAAATATTAAAAAAAGGTTAATAAAAAAAAAAATCTCACCCAGCAAAATCAATTGTAACCCTACCTACACATTGAACCCATTTTATTGGTTCTTGGCCTGTCCCTTTAAGGCCTAGTGTTGCTTTCTTGAATTGACTAATGTGTCAATTTATCTGTTTCCTTGGAAGCAGTAAAGGCAGTCTTGTATAGTTTCCCTGCACCAGTCTGTGCCAGACATTCCATAATGCAAGACTGATTCTCCAGTCTAATGTGCGTAGAGGGTAAATAGAACTGGCAGCCATAATGGATGGTTTAAAAGTTGGGAGGCTAGGCACTGTTTGTTCACTGGCACTGGAGGGTGACATGAATTGCAACCGGAGCTAGCACTAAATGACATTTTAAAAGGATTGTTCTTATACTTTAATATCAGCGTGATTAGGCCAGGGATAGGCAACATGTAATTACCTAAGTTCCCCTTTTATTGTAAAGCGCTGTGGAATAAGCTGGCGCTATATAAATACCAATAATAATAATAATAATAATAATAAAGAAAAACTCCAACTCCCATCATCCCCAACCAGGATTTACGTAAGCAAAGAGTACTAAAAATGTTGCAAATTTTTAGTTCCTTGGCTATTTTTAAATTGCAAACAAATTAAAAAACATGCTACATTGACGGAAATATCTGTATGTATCTATCATACACAAGGATAGAGCAAATATGTAAAGGGATTTTTAGCAACACAGATGCTGTGCAAGTATTTCCTTCATTTCCTCGCGGGAACTTTTGCTCAGATCTGGGAGTGTAGGCTATATCGTGGGAAACTCCATTCTATCCGTATCTTTAGTAATTCAATAGTGACTTCGATTTCAAAAGGTTAAAAGAACCGAACTCAATTTTCTCGCGAGAAAGTGATCTTTTTTTTTTTTTTAAGTTTGGAAAAAAAACCATCAGAAGTAATTTTTGAAGATTATTGCTAATGTAGACTTAAAGTAGCATTGCAAGCTGCCTATCAATAAACCACCAATAGTTATCATTCCATATCAAAGCTGGTCTTCACCAGACCTAGAAACTGATTAATCAGCCAGAAATTCAGTTAGTTTCTTGGCATCTTGCAGAGGACCTGTAAATTACACCATTCCCATACCCCTCCCGCGCTGTACCGGAACCTGGACTGATAAAATCAAATCACACAATCAAATCATGAAGCGGGGAGGAGGGACACGAGAGCCCTGAGCACACACCAGCTTTCTGTAATACTAATCTGGTTTTATTCTGTATTCACTGTATGTAGGAATAATTCACACATAGTTTCATGACGCTCATTATACTATTCTGCTGCCATTATTGGAATCTGCATTCCCAACATTGCCAGCAGATTTATTAGAAATACCTGTATAAAACTCTATAACTTATTTTTTTAGAGATATCATTTAATTTTTATGTATTCCTGAACATTTGTACATTAAAGGAACAGTAGTGTTAGCAATACAAACATGTATTCCTAAAACTATAGTGTTGGACAAGCTGTTGAGGTCCACGGTCACCCTCTGTGTGGAGAAAAAAGGTTGATTTACGCATCTTTTCTCCATCGCCACACTGGCTTTGCCACGGCAGGCCCCGCCTTCCTGGCTGAGATCTTCAGTCTTGATGATCTCAGCCAATCCAATGCTCTTCAACTGGGAGACTATTGCACATGCGTGGCATGCTGCACCAACCATTATATTCATAAATATGCATTAAAGATGCCTTTGTCCTAAATTGAAAAAAAATAAAAATAGTTTTTACACTGTGATTGTTTAGAAGTAAATGTAATTGCTTTTTTAAAACCAGTTGCTGTTTAATAATAATAAAAAAGGTACAAGGTACAAATAGGTCATATATTTTTAGGATTGTATACATTTTTATACTTTTTTTTAATTTACATTTTTTCTTAAAAATATAGCTCCACCATACCACTTTATAACTTTGTTGTACTAATAAGGGGAATCATTTCATCACATACCTTTTTACAATTACCTGCTGATTGAGGGTTTAAAGCTAGCTATATAATCTTGTACTCTTGGCACGCCTTAATGTTTTTTGTCACTTATCTTTTTTACTTTCCCTGAACAACTTGGGTAGAGAGAAGGCCTTGTTTTTATGTAACCTGACGCCTTGCGTCTCTAGTGAAGTCCTGTGCACTTTGCAGGCTTGCTGTTCCACAAATCTAAAAACAAATGTAACTTTACCTACTCAGCCCCCTGGGAATAGAAAAAAAACATGTATTGTGTCTTTTATTGTACTCCTTAAAAGCATTGAGTGCTTTTTATGTAATTTGGTAAGTTAGAGAACTACCATCTGTTCCACACTAACACTTTGCCGGTTGTTTCAAGTTCTCCTGGATCCATATCACTTACACAATTGGGCATTACTTGAAAGGTTTTGTGTGCAGGTAATTTATTAAAGGGAAACTCTGAGCACCAAAACAACTTGAGCTTAATGAAGTGGTGTTGGTGTATAGCTCATGCTCCTACCTGATCAAGCTCAATTCTGGGCCATTTACGACTTTAATCACTTTTGTTTCTGTTTAAAAGGACACTACAGTCACAAGAACAACTTTAGCTTAATGAAGCAATTTTTGGTAAATAACAATTTCTAAAGCAAGTTAACATCTGATTGAAAAATGAAGTCATTTTTCATGCAGGCTGTGTCAGTCACAGCCAGGGAAGGCGTGGCTAGGGCTACATAAACAGAAACAAAAGTGATTTAACTCCAGCTATACAGTACATTTATCACTGAACACAACTATGTGCCTAATTTGCTCAATCAGTCATCTCTATTACATTTGGTAAGTGAAAACATAACTGGCATGACTTGTTGAGAATTGAAAGTAAATCCAAAGGGAATTTCAAATAATTTAAAGTTAAATCCATAGATTGAGATTTTAGCTTGGGATTTCACGCGGTTGTGCTAGTTTGCTATGATGTTTAGTCACTGTTCGCATGATATAACCATCACTTATCTTGCCCCTCTGTTTGTAGAATCAGGTGTTGCTTGATATACACAGAGATCTTTCTTACTCCATCCACAAAAACAAACATGTGGGGTTGGCGGTGGGGGTAATGATCCAGTGACCACGTGAGCATGCACTCCCCCAGTGAATGTACAGTGTAAGCACAACGTGGACAGATTTAGCACAATAAAGAAGGAACTTAAACGCCCTTCTCTGCTGTTTGCCCTGTTTTGACCTAAAAGTAACAATTCCCTGACACATGTTCCCAATTCCCAATATAGTGTAATAGAGAGAGAACTGTTGGGAACAATCCAGTTGAGTTCACTCCTAGCCAGGGCACACAATGCAAATTGAGGAAAACATTGTGAAAAGACACATGTATGCATAAGGTTATTTACTAAAGTGAAAATTGTACTGACTTCAAAGTGAATTTAAAAGGCCAAAATAGCTGAACTAGGAAAATTCTCGAAGTCAGCTAGCTATGTTTCCAGTTCTTCATTTTTGGTCTAAAATTTCAAATTCTCATTTTAGTGAGAAGGAAAGACTAATATGATAAGAAAAAATATTTACAAATAAAATTAAATCTTAGTTTTTTATTGAAACGTGACTTGCACAGTTTAGAGTTGGAATTCTATATATTTTATGATGTGTAATGATAAATGTTTATATATTCACATACTTTACGGAAATCTTCTAACCTTTGCCACAATCTCTCCTGGGTCTGAATGTATTGTGAATCTGCTGGGCAGATGAAGCCACAACTTTCTCAACAAAGTATTGTCTTGAGAGTTTGTGTGGAGTTTACTATATATGAGAAAATAGTTGTGGGAACGGTTAGTTAATTTGCATCTGCAAATATATTGCCATTGCCTTGGTAGCCTTAAAAAAATAAAAGTAACCCTTTCACTAACTAATTTTATTTACTAGATGCAAAAAAAGTCTTATTAAAGGGACTCCATAGTCACCAGAACCACTACAATTTAATGTTCTGGTGTCTATAGTATATCCCTGCAGGTTTTTTAATGTAAACATCTTTTGTGAGACTGGTTGGGGAGGAGGGGGCGTAAGTACTAGTTTGGGGAACACTGTGATAGAGTTTTAGGATTTTACTATATTTAGTGAGGCAAGAGGGGGGATCGACTCATTACAGACTCCATGAAAAAAATAATATTCTAAAATGGTTTGACTACTTATAGTTGGGGACGCATGGGCACAACTGGCACCATAACCATCGTTATGGTGTTTGGAGTGTTCCATTAAGTATCATTGTACCAATTGATCTGTTTCTGGTATGCCTTCTTTCATATTGTAATTTTTTACATTTATTTTTTGCTATTACAGAGGTGGCTACCATGTCATAATACATTTTTTTCATTTACTGAGGAACAATATAGAGAGGATCCAGTGGAGTTATTGGACTTCCTGGGAATATAAAGTGAATTTTTACATGTTTGGCCAGAATTTATTCTTTGTGAATAACATGTACTGCTCTTTGTCTTTGTGTTTAGCTGAGATAGCAGTGGTGAGAATTTGGTTCCTAAGGGCGAGGAGGGGAATATATGGGAATCTTTCCCCTGTAGCTAAGGTACTAATTCATTCTGAGTTATGGCATAGTTAACCTCTGCTTTACATTTATGCTGAGCACACTGACTCTCAAAGTGTCGAACTCCCTTCTGTGTTAACAAGAAATCTAGAATAACAATGAAATTGTTATTCTATATAATCTAGAATAACAATTGCTTTATTATTAATAGGACAATAAAACTGGTTACTAGAGCTTTTAATTCCGTAACAGATTTTCTTTGTTTGTCTGGTGAAAATAATTTTCCACTATCCCATTTTACTTTTTTCCTTCCCTTAGAAAGTGCAGTGTTTTAAATGTTTAGGTAAGAAGTCATTGATCAATGTTAGTTGCAGATTGCAACTTTTTGAGTTCTTCTGTTTAATAATCCTTGTGATTAAATGGAAACTATAGTCACCAGAACCACTACAGCCTAATGTAGTGGTTCTGGTGTCTATAGCCTGTCCCAGCAGGCTGTGCACTGTAGATGTTGCCTTTAGTGTTTATTAGGGATCGACTGATATTGATTTTTTAGAGCCAATACCGATATTCTGTGAACTTTCAGGTCGATAGTTTACCGATATTCTGTACATTTACCATTTTGAGAAAATTTATTTTTTTGCAAATCTTGTGTGGTAAATGGAAAAAAAATATATACATGTCAGTCATATTTTGTTCATCTTTTCAAGAATATTTATATGTATGTGTAGTGGATGCAGTGAGAGTTTTTGATTAGTAAATGCAGTGTGTGTATGTGTGTGTTTGTGTAGTGGATGCAATGTGATTGTTTGTGTAGTGGATGCAGTGTGGGTAGTGGATGCAGTGTGTTTGTGTGTAAATATGTGCGGTAATGCTCCTCTCCCTTATCTTTTAGTGCCCCCCCCACGCCAGTGTTCCTTTTCCCTTCCCTGTACCTTAGTGCCCTCCCTCAATGTTCCTCTCTCCCCCCTAGTGTTCTTTCCCCTCTCCCCTGTCCCATAGTGTTCTCCCCTCCCCTGTCCCATAGTGTTCTTTCTTCCCAACCCCTTCCCTGTCCCATAGTGTTCTTTCCTGCCTGCCCCGTCCCATAGTGTTCTTTCCTCCCAGCCCCTCCCCTGTTCCATAATGTTCTTTCCTGCCCCCCTCCCTTGTCCTATAGTGTTCTTTCCTCCCCCCCTCCTGTCCCATAGCATTCCTTCCCCCCCGTCCCATAGAGTTTTTTCCTCCAGCCCCCCTCCCCTGTCCCATAGCGTTTATTCCTACCCCTCTCCCTCCCTCCTCATTTTCTCCCAAAATGTAACTGCCCCTTGTCTTGTCTCTTACGGTACAGGAGATTCAGTCTCCTGATTCAGTCTCCTGCACCTGGCCAGACTGACAGGAAGTGCTCTCTCAGTGAGCACTTCCTTTCAGTCCGGCCGGGTACAAGAAAACATAAGTTCCTGTACCGCGGTGCGCACTGCTCTGCTCGGCCACGCAACACAGAGTGCCTGGCAGGAGGGAGCGCTGTGCACCCACTTCCTGCCGGTTACTCCAATCTAGCGTCCCCACCCCAGGCCCGTGCGCACTAAGGCGGCTGCTTATGCCACCTTATGGACACGCCGGCCCACCTCATTATCGGTATTACCGCTGATTATCGGCCAATACTGATATTTACAAAAAATTGGAATATCGGCAAAACCGATAATCGGTCGATCCCTAGTGTTTACACTGCTGCTTTGTAACACATCTAGTGGCTGTAACTCAGATGGCTATTAGAGGTGCTTCCTAGTCCAGTGCTGCACAGTGTGCAGTATCTCCATGCTCTGCATGGAGGTGCTAAACGTTGCCCTTAGAGATCTATTAATTCAATGCACAGCGCTGCAGAATTTATTGATGCTTTATAAATAATAATAATGCATCTCTATGAGAAGCTGCTGATTGGTGCAGCTCTGGATGGCAGGGGACGACGACTAATATAGTTAGTTTGATACTCTAGTGTCAGGGATACATGTTTGAATTCCTGACGTACAAATCTACAGACAGAAGCAGCAATGTGTGAAGGTCAAATTCCCAGACAAGTCTGTCCTTGAATGAGAGCTGAAAAGAAAATTTAGATCTAATCTGGCAAACACAACAAATGTTTAATAACTTGAACAGTACTTGTTTTTTTAACAGATTAAAATGATCTGTTATTTTGTATAAAGTAACAATATGTATATATTTATTTCCATACTATTTAAAAAAAATTAAGAAAGTAACTCCTTACTGCTGCTACTTCCCAGATAACCAGTGTACAAGGACTGCCAGCCAGGAGCTTCTCATTGTGTTCTATAGAGTTTACCTGTATGATAAATCCCTATCTAACAAGTGCTTATGGGACATATAATTCATTCAGCCCCCACTGCAGTTTCACTCATTAGATCTAATGACTGGCCCTGTCAGATGAGCTCACGACACTCATACTGTATCTACAATCAATACATTCAGTTTGAAATCGAGCTGTGCACAGCATTACCACCATGATCCAGTGACCACGTGAGCATGCACTCACTCAGTGAATGTACACTGGAAGCACAACCTGGACAGATTTAGCACAATTAAGAAGGAATTTAAACTTCATTCTCTGCTGTTTGCAAGGAACTCTTAGCCTTATATGTGGTTGGAGTTAGAAGTTTCAAATTAATCTGTTTTTGCAACTTTGCAATTTTTTTCTTTAAAAAGCTCTGCAGTTTCAAATTACTGTGTGCTGGGACACATGGGCCTTTCATGCACAATAAGTTTGTCAGCTAGCATGGTGCTTAAAGGGACCCTTTAAGAGTGCCCATGCCCTGTCCTGTCCGCACTGCATGGCAACGAATCCGTGTGGACAAGAAAGGGCATGCTGTAAAATATTAGGACAGTTGGACATTGGGCTCTGTAAAGCTCTCGGCCAGCAGCACTACAAATAGACATGCTCATTAAGCATATATTTGTTATATAGCACTGTATACCAGCTGATTAATGCTGTATAATATGAAACTGTGGGGCTATCTCATCCTCACCCTGAAATTAAAAAAAATCTGTGGATTCCCACCTTCTCTGGTATCATAAAGGTTTTGTTGGCTTCTAAATGTGTCCCCTTAGGTTTGTCAGTGGCTATCTTGTCGCTAATGCATTATATTGGCTAAGGGGGTGTTTATTTTAATAGAATGACAAGGGTTAACGCCAGGGGTCTTTTTACTCTCTTAATATACGTCTGTTTCATATATCATGTAAATGAATATAAAGATTCAAACTGTTTACATATACTATGTGTCCTCTTTTCATTTAGAAGTCCAAAGTCCTTTTTTGTGCTGTGATTTTTGTTTTGTTTTTACGCAAGTCTTGCAACATGGATTAGAGTTCTTATACAATTTTTTTCAATTCTTCAATCAGTTTGTTCTCTATGTATTCATAAGATTATTCCTGTATACCGGTAAAGATCAGTAGTCTGGTGGAGATTATTTATCTGGTCTCCCATCACTCAATTACAACAAAGGTGATCATAAATGATAACTGCCAAACAATAGGGTTTATCCACTAAACAGTGAGAGCTGATGAATTAACAACTCACTTGTAAATATAGGCTATTATAGTCATACACTTTGGCCATAAACATCCCCACACTGTCAGATTCAGTAGGACTGTTTGATCTATGGCTACTGTCCTGTCCCCAATAAGCCCAACACATGGGCACATCAGAGGGAGTGCGGACCGAGCACAGCTGTCAATCAGCTTGCCATTCATTCATGTCATGCTAACATGTCACCATTTTTGGGGAAGGTTTGCCTCCCCTAGCTCTTTGTTAGTGATACTGAGAGCTGTGTCTTCAAGTGTATGACAATTTTTCTACCTTCTATTTAGACTTTCATTATGCATGTTGGTTCTCAAATTGCTCTTCAGTGCATGCTTTCCTATGACGTAGCAAGCTGTGATCAAGAATAGAACAACATACTTTAACAAACTTAAAAAAGCTAGACAAAAAAAAAATAACAATAATAAATGAATAAATAAAAGAAATACATTTTCACAAGTAAAATATGTTTAGTACGTAGTTTGGCAATAAATACTAGCTATTAAATTATAATTTGCAGTGTTTGATCTATACGTTTTAATGTAAATAATCTAACGAGTATATGTCTGTACTGCTACATTGATTATTGATTGATGCTGTGTTATTGGAATGATTTGCACTATTGATCATCCTAGAGTGACAGTTACAAAGTGGCTGCCACTTGTGACTTATGATTAATTTCAATACCATTTAACAAAGTCATTGTCCCTGCAGTGACATATATTGATTCCTCACATTAGTTTTCTTGTGCTTTTTAGCTTTTTATAACCATACATTTTAACCCTTACTGCTTACGTTTATTCACTAAAGCATGAATCGTTAGGAGTTTAAAGTGAATTCCAAGTAATTTTAACATTTTAGACCAAGTTAGCCAAACTGAAGAATTAGCTAACATGGAGATTATCTTCCAATTTTGTGGTTTTGGCATAAAATCTGAATTTCTCTTTGAATTCACTGAATAATTCCCACATTAGTGAATAATCCTGTAAATGTCATGAATCGTAACAAATGACACCTGTAGTCACTTGCGTACTAACTGCGTACCTACCTCTGCCTGCAGGTTATTGGTTGGAGCACCTCGGACCAAAGCCTTTCCATCCCAGAAAGCCAACGTATCGGGTGGTCTATTCTCTTGTGACATCACCTCAACCACGCCTTGCACACGGGTCATATTCGATGACTCAGGTATGTTGTATTAGTGGGTGTCCAATCTAAAACTCAGCGTGGCTTATTTACTAAACCAGGGAAAGACAAGTTTTTGGACAAAATAGTCAAAGTGGAAAAATTATTTTTCCATCTATTTCAGCCTAAAATGTGTAGATCCTCCTCAGTTCCTGGCTTTGTGACACTCAGCCAGAGGGATAAGCATGAAACTCAGAATCGTAGTGAATTGAAACCCAAATGACAACATTTAGGCTGGAATAGTTTGATCAAATCAACCGTGTTTAGCTAGACTTTGCCATTTGGATTTTAATTCACTGCAGTTCTGCTGACTTGCATTAAACTTCTGTATAAAATATAGAAATATGAAGATATCAATATTTGGTAAACACGTTAAAGCGGCACGCCAGGCGTCCATACAAGTTGGGTATGATGTGAAGGTTAGGTTACTGATAGTTATACCAGCCTTTGCATTTAGATTTTCATTTTAAATAATTTGTTTTTTCTTTCTGTCTTCCTTTCAACCTGCAGTTTTTCTCTATTACTGCAGTTATTCAGCTATATGTGATGTTAACACTGAGTAAATGGAAGCTGTACTAAGTTCAGCTATTGGCTTTCTCTAGCAGAACACTGATATTGAAAGACCATTCAAGACCAGAAACCCCCTCTGTGCTAATTAACATTACATATGAGTGAGATCTGTTGTGCCATAGTCAAAAGGCCACGTTAAGATTCATAACCAGTACAGCCCGCATTAGTGGTTATGGTGCCAGCATGCCGCTGGTGGTGTATCCCAGTTCTGTGTCAAACTCTTATCAAGCTGTTTGATACAAATTGTTGGTTCTTGGAAGCTTGTGGTCCGTCCTCCTTATTCAACATATTGCTAATGCGGAAATTGCACATAAATTAACAATGCCAATACCGTCCATATTTTGAAAACATGTATTGGATGGCTGCTTGATATTAATGAAATCCAAAGTTTGACAAAATAAATATTGCTATTGAGAAAGTGCAACATCTGCGATAGTAAAATGCTGAGTGGGGGACCAGGCTGCGGACACTTAGGGGACCCTCAATTTATGTGAAACCAGTAATCATTGATAGCAGCTCAAAGATAGAATCCAGGTGGGAAGCTGCGACCCCTGGATGCCTGTATCTCAGTCCCTAGCTGTGTTTATCTGACACCCACTCACACACGAGAAATAGGGTACCTATTGGCAGTCCTAGTCATATAATGATAAACTTACTAGATGGGAATTGACTGACGTCAGTATGGTACATAATCCCCCACACTGGGGGGCTGTCTGTGAATGCAAAGTCTCTCTTTATTTTACAGCTCTGTAGTATAATAAAGTAAATGTCTTTATGTTTCCAGTTGACCTTTCTACGGAAAGTAAAGAGAACCAATGGATGGGTGTCAGTGTGCAAAGCCAGGGACCAGGAGGTAAAGTCGTGGTGAGTGTTTTTCATTCATATTTTATATTCTACTTAGCCTTAGATTATGAAATTTGGACAAGTTTATTGATTTTACGTATGTTTTGTATTTTGGGGGAGGTGGACAGGCAATGTACCAGAAGCATATAGATTCAGTTGGCTGGACATGGGTATTTGCAAAAAAGTAAAATAAAATGTCCCTAGTGACAGATCTGCTCGAATAACACAAAATATCCTGGTTTTGATACATCTCCTGTAACCAACTGTAACTTTTAACTAAAGCGATAATTAGAACATTCTGAATGGTCTTAATAATCAAATATTCTCGCAACAGACGTGTGCCCATCGATATGAAAGAAGGATAACTTTCGCAAACTCGAACCAGGAGACTCGAGACATCATAGGGAGATGTTACGTACTCAGCCAAGACCTCACCATTTCTGATGACATGGATGGAGGGGAGTGGAATTTTTGTGATGGACGACTGAGGGGACACGAGAAATTTGGATCTTGCCAACAAGGTGTTGCTGCAACGTTTACCAAAGACTATCATTACGTTGTTTTTGGCGCTCCGGGGGCATATAATTGGAAAGGTATGACTTCCTACGGTTTTAAAGAGAAACACTGTTACCTGACACGCAGGATTTCAGTATATTCTGTTACCCTGTACAATATACATGTATGTAGGGGCCACGGCCGTCCGGTGATGTAGACACAAAAGTCAGAAGAAATACTGTGAGGGTTTATTTACTAAACAGTGAGTGGTTTTGACTTGACTTGCAAAATTCAGGCCAAAATAGAATTGTTGTTTTTTTAAATCGAGATTTTGGCCAACCGTGTTTCCCTTCCTGCTAGTTTTGCTTATATTTTGCACACTGTTTAGTGAATAAATACTCACTAAGTGGGAATTGCTGAAAATTCTAAGTGAATTTTAATATCTAGTTCAAATTAGCTGACCTGGAAATATTTTTCAAGTCCGCAATGCTTTCACTTTGGCTCGTTTGGTCTTAAATTTGAAATTCCCTTTACATTTTTGCCCATCATTAACTTCCTTGTTCGTGCTATGTCCAATGAAATGCCTCTCATAAAGAAGCATAATGGGTACATATTGAAACTGTAAAAAAAAAAAAAAAGTGACAGTATTAGTAAAAAAAATATATATATATAACATTATTAATTAATGAAATGCTGGATATTTTACATATTAGATGAGTAAAATAAAATGCACGCAAGTTCCTAAAATGTCTACTCATATAATGCAAACAAGTCTGCACGTTTCAGTGAATTATTTCTTCCTGTGAATGTTTGATTTTTTTCTTTCTTTATCTAACTTTATCTAATCTCACACAGGGCGCTGCTTTGCACTACCAAGACAATTAATAGAACAGGAGATATGAACTTCTAAAGTAAACACACTCTCCCAAGTGAAACCCATGCTTTTCTCTATTAAATTAAGTGAATTTCAAATTCAAGGCCAAAGTAGCCAAGCTGTAAAGCATAGCTGACTTCAAGTTTGGCTATTTTGGACTCAGAGTGGAAATTCTCTTTCAATTCTCACTTTAGTGAATAACACAGAGAATTCAAGTTGAAATCAAAGTGAAGTTCACTTTTTAATTTTTAATTATTATTATTATTTAATTTTTTTCCAGTTTGACTATTGTTGAAAATTCTCACTTTAGTAAATTTTCAGGGTAAATTTAACAATTTTGACCAAAACAGCCCAATTGAAAATATAATATAAATTTGAAATTCAAGGGGCTACAGAACATGGGTTTTGCCATTCCTTTACCATGGGATCACACATTTTGCCACTCCATTAAGTTCAAATATCATAAATCACATTACTTTCTCTAGAAGCAGCAAAAACATTTCATGTGTTCCATTAATTGTTTTAACCATTATTATTATTATTATTATTATTATTTTATTTTGTTAAATTGTTCTCCATCTTATTATTTTCTCCTCCATTATTTCATTCCTCCAGGAACTGTTCGTGCAGAACATAAAAATCAAACATTTGATGATCTGTTATTTTTAGAAGATGGTCCATATGAAACCGGTGGTGAAACTAAACACCTTGCCGAATTAGTTCCTGTTCCATCAAACAGTTATTTAGGTAATCATGGGGTCTCCCTGCCATTTCTGCAGCTATTGCGAATTTAGAATATTGTCCATCCATTCGGCTCATATGGTGTTATTGTTTGTTCGAATGTAAAATGCTTGATGCCAATACAAACACGATTGCCTTGTTTATTGTGTACCAGAGAGGTTAGGAATACAAAAAAGCTTCGGAACAGTGGCTTCTATAGGTTGGTATAGTACTCCAAGCAACACGTTGTTGATCAGCGAGTTCATCTAGGTCAGGGCTAGACAACCTTCGGCACTCCAGATGTTCTGGACTACATCTCATTTAATGCCTTACAGCAGTGTTAATTTTGGTGGCAAATTTCAATTTAGTTTTAGTCATAGTCTTTTGACTAAAAAGCCATTTTCGTTTTAGTCCTATTTTAGTCATCTGAAGTGTTTTAGTTTTAGCCTAGTTTTATGTAACTAAATCCCCAGTAGATTTTAGTCGACCCGACTAAAAATGGCTTTAGTTAAAGCCTCTACCTGACTCTTTTACCACTTCCCAAGCACCCCTTTGTATCCTCCCAGCCCCTCTAGGTGTCTCTCTCCCAAGCTCTTTCCACAGCCCCTCAGTGCAGTGTTAATTTTGGCGGCAAATTTTTATTTAGTTTTAGTCATAGTGGTTTGACTAAAAAGCCATTTTAGTTTTAGTCGTATTTTAGTCATCTGAATTGATTTCGTTTTAGTCTTGTTTTAGTCGACTAAAATTTGACTAAAATTGTTAGTAAATAAAATGAACACTTCTTTACAGATGTAATGATGGGGTGCCAAAGGCTGCCTACCCCTGATCTTGGTGATTACTGGTTGTAAATCCTGGTTAGGATTATAAATAAATGTTGGGAATTTTGCAAAAACTAACACAGAATTTTAAATTTTTTGGCTAAAAATACCTTGCCTGTCAATATAGTTGAGGTGGACAAATTTTTAAATTTGGCCTAACATTTGCAATTCTCTTGTTGAATCATCGCAATTCTTTGTTTTGAGGGAAAAAATTAATTAAATGGATTAAAAACACGAGTTTGTGTTTTTAACACTGATATTTGTTAATTACACGATTATATATAAAAAATTTGTCATTTTTTTATAATGCATTGCATACTATTTTTTCTTTTGGGGTTACTACCAGGCCCTGATTTACAGTAAGGGCATAAAAGTGGCTGGTTTATGGATTTAGCAGAAAAGCATAATAAACAATGTATCATCTGTAGAGAATAAAATGTATATTGTACTAAACATTAAATTGGATTTTCAGTCAGGTAAAAAATTTGACCAATATAAATCTTGCCCTGGACTATAGAAATATTTTGAATATACTTAAAAAAAATATGTTTAAATATATAAAGTTGTAATTTCTCTCTGTCCACCCTGTTTATGTTTATGTATACACCTGTAGGTCTTCTCTTTATGACAACTGTATCCAGTACAGACCCTGACCAATTTTTGTACAAATCTGAGCCAACTAGAACAAATGTGCATAAATCTGCCGATGTGAAGGCTAATAGCTACTTAGGTTGGTCGGTTTGTTTCCCAGGAGCATGATCTTGTTTGGTGACATCATTGTATTGCTCAGATGACATCATCATCACCCAGTTGACATATATATGCCAGAGAACGAACAGCTCATTGCATCACATTCTCTATGGAACGTATATGTTTTGACCTTGTCCTCCGTTTTCCACTGCGCGCATGTATCATAATTCATATGAAAGAGTTGACTGTTTTGATACATTGCATTAAGTAATGAACTTGTGTGTGTATTCGACATTCAATATGTTTTGGGAGCAAAGCTATATCAGGTTTTCATATACCGTCAGGTTATAGCATAAAAAGGTGTATATTATGGACAACCATGTCTGTAGCTCTAACCTAGTCATCTCCTTTTTAACCTCTTAATGGTTTCTCCAGCCCACTGTATTGTTTATGATGCAAGGAGTATCCTGGGGCTGCTTTCCTGGTAATGGGGTGAAACGTTTAGCAACTGTTTACTCTCTTACCTAGGTCCCTGCCGGGGTCCGAGGCTCCTCTCCTGCCAAGTGACGTGCTTCTCGTCTCTGCAGAGCTGGTTAACCTTCACTAGCATTACATTACTGATAGAAGCCACACAATTACAAACACGTATTCTCTGAATTCTCTCTAAAAAAACATGCTAGAACATTTTTTTTGACTACAGTAAAAATAAAAAAAAGTAGTGACTACAGGAAAATATTTCCTAATCAATTATTGTTTGCCTAAATTTTGTAATGAGGGTTTTATTTCAGTATAATTTAGTGCTTAATAAAGAAAAGTCCAAATAACAATCAGAGCTATTCGGTAAAGGGAATTGTCAGGAAATCAAAGTAAATTTAAATCTGGTAAAGTTAATCCATAATTTAGTGTTCGAGGCATGTGTGCATGTTAAATATGGGAAATGTCAGTCATGTGAAAAATGGGAGCTAGATTTTTTTCAACACTGCACCTAGAGCATCTTGCATCAGATCACAGAGGGATCTATATGCAAATTGGGCTTGTAGTTAATTTGCATTCAAGGTCAGAATGGGAAATGATACAGAAAAAAAAGAATGTATCAAACATAGAATAGTATGTTATTCCCCATGTGATAAATTCAACAGTAGTTTTACTCAATGTTCAGTCAGACAGGTTTGTGCTATGTAATTCTTCCACAAGCACTGGGTGATATATTTTTCTTGCTAACAGTTATCTTTGTGATTTCGTGCCAAATCCCTCATTATTTTCCTTCCAAAATTGCCATTTCATGACTTGTCTTACTAACCATTTGTATTGCTGATGAATGGGAAGTACTCTGAAAGGGTTATATTGCTCTGCTTGTTTTCACTGTTATCATGCTGGGTTGATCAATTGCTGTGTCTGGTGCTTTTTAGGATTCTCCCTGGATACTGGTAAAGGGATAATCTCAAAAGATGAATTAACCTTTGTTTCCGGAGCCCCAAGAGCCAATCACAGTGGGGCTGTTGTACTCTTGAAGAAAGACGCTCCCCATGAAAGAATGCTTTCCGCAGAATATGTTTTTGAAGGCGAAGGGCTGGCCTCTTCCTTTGGCTACGATGTAGCAGTGGTGGATCTAAACAGTGATGGGTAAGTCTTGCTATGTGCATCGTTATATTAAATTAAAAAAAAAAAATTTAATGAAGGCAAGCTATAGTTAACACGATCCCCTATTTTAAATGCATTATATGGATAAAACATAAAATGTACAAAAAAAATTAAAAACACTAAAGAGGACACTGAACTAACTAGGAAGAGGCTCCACCCACCAGGAACCACATTTTATGATCTATTGAGTCTGACCTTGTGCTGGACAGTGATTTATGGGAGAGGTAATTTATCTCTTAGGAGCAGTTCCACTCATCACAGCATGAGTAAAATTGCTCCACAAACTGTGAGCTTTCAAAGCATAAACAGCCCTACCACGGATGCCTTGAATGCACACAGCACGGTGCACAGCTGCAGATGTCCCTCTTGTGTGTGTATTGTAATAAAAGCAGAGCTTTATTAATTAAGCAGGAATTGTGGAAAATTGACATAGAAATCAATATGTTTAGGAAAATAACTGTGAATTTTTTTTAATTTTGGCTATTTTTTCATAAATTTAGATTTTCTGGTTTTAATGAACTATAATTTATTCTTTAGTAAAAAAACAATTCACAAATGTAATTTATTGGGTTTTGTGTGTGTGTGCGTGTATGCGTGTGTGCGTGTGCATGTGTATGTATATATAATACAGGGAGTGCAGAATTATTAGGCAAATTAGTATTTTGACCACATCATCCTCTTTATGCATGTTGTCTTACTCCAAGCTGTATAGGCTCGAAAGCCTACTACCAATTAAGCATATTAGGTGATGTGCATCTCTGTAATGAGAAGGGGTGTGGTCTAATGACATCAACACCCTATATCAGGTGTGCATAATTATTAGACAACTTCCTTTCCTTTGGCAAAATGGGTCAAAAGAAGGACTTGACAGGCTCAGAAAAGTCAAAAATAGTGAGATATCTTGCAGAGGGATGCAGCACTCTTAAAATTGCAAAGCTTCTGAAGCGTGATCATCGAACAATCAAGCGTTTCATTCAAAATAGTCAACAGGGTCGCAAGAAGCGTGTGGAAAAACCAAGGCGCAAAATAACTGCCCATGAACTGAGAAAAGTCAAGCGTGCAGCTGCCACGATGCCACTTGCCACCAGTTTGGCCATATTTCAGAGCTGCAACATCACTGGAGTGCCCAAAAGCACAAGGTGTGCAATACTCAGAGACATGGCCAAGGTAAGAAAGGCTGAAAGACGACCACCACTGAACAAGACACACAAGCTGAAACGTCAAGACTGGGCCAAGAAATATCTCAAGACTGATTTTTCTAAGGTTTTATGGACTGATGAAATGAGAGTGAGTCTTGATGGGCCAGATGGATGGGCCCGTGGCTGGATTGGTAAAGGGCAGAGAGCTCCAGTCCGACTCAGACGCCAGCAAGGTGGAGGTGGAGTACTGGTTTGGGCTGGTATCATCAAAGATGAGCTTGTGGGGCCTTTTCGGGTTGAGGATGGAGTCAAGCTCAACTCCCAGTCCTACTGCCAGTTCCTGGAAGACACCTTCTTCAAGCAGTGGTACAGGAAGAAGTCTGCATCCTTCAAGAAAAACATGATTTTCATGCAGGACAATGCTCCATCACACGCGTCCAAGTACTCCACAGCGTGGCTGGCAAGAAAGGGTATAAAAGAAGAAAATCTAATGACATGGCCTCCTTGTTCACCTGATCTGAACCCCATTGAGAACCTGTGGTCCATCATCAAATGTGAGATTTACAAGGAGGGAAAACAGTACACCTCTCTGAACAGTGTCTGGGAGGCTGTGGTTGCTGCTGCACGCAATGTTGATGGTGAACAGATCAAAACACTGACAGAATCCATGGATGGCAGGCTTTTGAGTGTCCTTGCAAAGAAAGGTGGCTATATTGGTCACTGATTTGTTTTTGTTTTGTTTTTGAATGTCAGAAATGTATATTTGTGAATGTTGAGATGTTATATTGGTTTCACTGGTAATAATAAATAATTGAAATGGGTATATATTTGTTTTTTGTTAAGTTGCCTAATAATTATGCACAGTAATAGTCACCTGCACACACAGATATCCCCCTAACATAGCTAAAACTAAAAACAAACTAAAAACTACTTCCAAAAATATTCAGCTTTGATATTAATGAGTTTTTTGGGTTCATTGAGAACATGGTTGTTGTTCAATAATAAAATTAATCCTCAAAAATACAACTTGCCTAATAATTCTGCACTCCCTGTAGTTTGCAATCTTGATAAAAGGTTCTGTCCCCCCACATTTTGTGTCGGCTTGCAATTCACACTTTGTAAAATATATCCATCCATAGAAAATGAGTTTGACTCAAAGTTTGTGCTTTAAAATGTCTGAGCCTGTTTTATTTTGTTTATATTCTTGTCTCAGTCTGTTTGATGCTGTAAATTATTGTTGAATGTATCTAAAACTCTAGCTGGATGGGAGGATGTTTTATACCAAAGGGATATCCTTGCATGGAGTCCCTTGAATTGTTTTCTATTTTTAATGTGGGTAAATAAAAGCAGTTATTGTACCACTGGGAGTCTGCACGCTGCATTTCCTAAAGCAAATGTGCTACCAACTGACATAAACAGCAGATAAGGACTTGGCAGGAAAGCACAAAAGGTCTGTCAGTTAGTTAGTTGGCTAGTTGAAGATCTGCTCACATTATGATAATGTTAAGGTCTGGATCTTACATCCTTCCTATGAGTCAGCCTTTCATTCCTCAGCTGTTTATGGAGCGAATGAGCTGTAAAATTCATAAAATGTACTATATAGTTATAGCATCCTACATGGGAAGCCAAAGTCAATCAGATCTTTGTAAAGTAAAAATACACTTGGCGTCAGCGTTCCCATGGTGTGTCAGCCTACCATTGCCACCCACGTTTGGATGGGATATTGAAAAACTACCTTAATAACCAATCATAAGGAAAGGGATGTTGTGGGCACAGGGAGAACCCATTTATATTTAATGCCAAAAAAATACTTTGAGTAAAGTCAAGGGTGATGGCGCACACAAGCTCTAGAATGATATGTAGTGGTTATGATACTTAGAGTGACTCTTTAAGAATGTTTATTGTTAAGAATGTTAAACGATATATGGATAAATACTATACTAAGAAAGCTTCAGTTACTTTAACCGTAACCAAACAGGAGCTAGTTATTACGTAACTATTCTTAATGCGGTAATGGTCAACAGAAGGTTCTAATGGCCTACAATCCTATGATGCCTTTTGGAATGTAAAATCCTAGAGCTATGAGGTCATCAGCTGTAAACACTCACTGGCTCTTGGATACTTCTACCAAACACAGGGACCTCACAGTATCTCCATCTTTAATTCAATTATTGAATATTTACCTACATGGTTGGCTGAAATTATATATAAAAAATTGTTTTTATGTGTTTCCTTTCTTTAGGTGGCAGGATATTGTTGTTGGTGCTCCTCAGTACTTTGATAAGAATGACAAAGATATTGGAGGTGCTATTTATGTATACATTAATCAAAACGGAAAGTGGAATGATGTCAAGCCAATTCGTATTGAAGGAACCAAGGATTCCATGTTTGGAATTTCCGTAAAGAACATTGGAGATATAAATCAAGATGGATACCCTGGTAGGAATATATAATAGAGTGGAACATTTTGATAGGTTTATTGATTGTGAAGTTGGTGGTTGTTATTTTGTTGATATTTGCTGGTTAAAAATGTCCACTCACAACTAGCCATTGGAGAGTGAAAATGTAGCACTGGCAAGTAGAAATTCACCTCTGGTGGTTATAATATGCCTTGCAGCAGCAAGTAACTTTTAAGGTCTAGGTAGCAGCATAAGACTTTGGATTGTAATCTGTGATGATAATCTAGGAACTGGCAAAAGCTCAGAAAACTCAATAGCTGGTAAATTCAGGTTTTACATTTTTTCTGCTCAATTGTGCCTATTCCATTTGAATATCAGGCCAATCCCACCTATAAAGGTGGTCCATATCCCATATGCTGGCATGTTCCCTCTGCACAAAAAATATTATTGTTTTGGCCTTCTTTGAGCCTTGTCAGCAAGGTGTGGCTGATACCCCTCTAGGATCCTTGAGCATAGGGTCGATATCTAGGTTACCCTTTTTAGGCGGCACTGTCACCCTCCCCATTCTGCAAGATGGGTAGTCAAAAAATATATTGAGACAAGTTAGGGACTACAAGAGTACAGCAGTAATGTCAGCTCCAGGCGCTGATGTACCAGGAGCATGAGAGGAAATGGACAAATTGGAAGACAATGGTGGCACCTGTGAGGGACAGGTTTACAAAGTAGAACCACCATTGGAACCAGCGGCCATGTCACTGTCAGGGGTCTCCAAACTTTCCAGACAAGGACCGTTCCGCTTTACAGAGAATGTGAATACTGTGTTAACTGCAAACGCTCAGACATTTTCCAAAATTTCTCTCCTGCTATTGCTTATTTGTTCTCATAAAATTCTGTTAATTGTAGACCATTGTTGGACCACTCCTTGCTAGACCAATCACAGAGTTCTCTTTTAGAAATGCCCAATGTAAAAGGCACACATAGAAACATGTGTATGTTTATTAGCGGTGTAAGAGATTATACCACACACTGGACTCAAAAGTCCTGAGACTTGGGATATTCTACACTTGGAAAATTCCTGTAGAATTACAGATTAATAACTCTTCCCCTTAATACTTTAACTGATAAATATAGATAGGTTATGTTTTAAAGAGAGCTTCTCTGCTTGCACATTTAAAGGGTTAAAAGAAAACTATCACTTGTCTGGAAATTAAAACCATTAAAAAGAACACTGAAAATAGTTTAAAACTTGTGTTAACCTTTTTATCGACACAAAGCTCAGTTAAAAAAATAAATAAAAAAAAAGCACATTAATGTTGTAGCAATTATGGCTCAAATGGAGAAACATCTCCTCTCTCTATGATCTCTTTAAGGAATAAGTAAACATATTCTTAAAACCATTGGAAGCGATAGTTCTGCCTAAACTTTAGCTCTTGTGCCTAGATATTGCTGTTGGAGCACCCTATGATGATGGCTTCGGAAAAGTCTATGTGTTCCAAGGGTCAAAGGATGGAATAAACAGAAAGCCGTCGCAGGTAAGTGCTTGGTTCCATCTGTGACATTAATTGCAGCTTCTCATTCCCTAGCACTTCTTATTACCTTATATTTCCCTGCTAGTTTTCATAATATATATAGTGGTTCACTGGCTTTGCACCTCTTCCCGAGTTGTGTTTCAAAGCTGTTGTACACAGCAAATACAACCTCCAAGGAATCCATGTTAAAAATGGAATGAGGCAAAAATTTTATTCTTTGTTGAACTAATTTGCATATGCCCACCCAGAATGCTTTGTAGTAGCAACATCACTGCAAATGTGTGATTTCTGTGGGAACAGCAAGTCTTATGGCTTGACTGGTGTGCAGATCTTTGTTTAACAATTTACTGACTATCCACTGACCTCAGGTGGAAGGGGTTTTCAATCACAATTTTTCCCCACAATAACTTTCTGTGTATATATTAATATATATCAATCTAATAAGCTGTATGCATTTTCATCATATTATAATCAGTTATTTACTGTAACATTAATCCACACTTGTTTCTTTTTTATAAAGATTATTGATGGTAAAAGCACAAAGACTATGTCGTTTGGTTACTCCATTGCTGGAAATATGGATCTGGATAAAAATACTTACCCAGATATTGCCATTGGATCCCTATCAGATTCTATAAATGTATTCAGGTAAAAGGAAACATCCCTACAAAGTCTAATGTGTCGGAATGCACATTGCTGCGTGAGAGTTTTTACATCTGTTTCTATGCTCTGTGCAGGTCACGTCCGGTTATCAACATCAAGAAGACAATCACAGTCACTCCAGATAAAATAGACTATAGCAAGAAGAATTGTAACAATTTCAATGCAATCTGGTAGGAAATGCTTTTTTTTTTTTGCCCTTTTTTTTTCCATGAATGGAATACTTTGTCTCAAAAATGTTCCTGTGATTGTATTCTGAAAACATTAGGATGTGTCAGTTGCTTTAATGCTTGTTTAAAAGGGGTTTTAATTATTTGTACCGGATAACGCCATACAGTATATGTTAATTAAAACCTCTGATCCCTTATTAAAATCAGAATGTTTGTCCTGTGGTTATTATTATTATGGAATGCCAAAAGACTGCAGTGCATTACTAATACGTTTTCGGAAGTTTAGTGGCACCAGCCTTAAAAGGACTTGCCATGCAACATAGCCGATACAAGTCATTGTAGTTGTTATGGTGCCAGGAGGCATGCCTGTTTCTCCATAATTTTTACATGTTCTCAGGCATTTAAAAAAATAGCACAGGATACATCTGCACCCAAAGCCCATCCCGTCAGTTTGCAATGTCATAATGAGGAAATTTCATATCCTCAGCCATCCAAGTGTTCGTACAATGAGATCAAGCCATTATTTACATCCTTCAGACCCTCAGACCAAATTGGCACATGAAGCCAATTAATTGTGCATTGGGTCCAGGGGAGGGCATACAGTATATCCCCCGGTGTTGCAGTATTTCACGTGCCATAATGATTCGCCAGTCTTACATGGCCAATCAAAGCACCATAACAACATTGGATGCTGCAGACAGAGTATAAGGTGCAGGTAGTACCATGTCCCCAGTCTCAGCTCTGGGTGTCTTCTAACTGCAGGGATTTGTAAATCAGAGCAATCAAACTGCTACCAACAACTTGGACTGAGCTTTGTATCTTTCCCAGGCTGAGCACCAAGTCACAGACTGTGCTTTACCAGTAGCTCCACACAGCCCGGTTGACTAAGCAGTGAAAATTAATAGCAGCCGTGGCATGTCTGCCTTCAGGTTACAGAGTGGTTCCACTTATCCTATATGATGTGGGACAAGAGCAGACCCCTTAGACCAGAATGAAAGTCTCTTGAGTATTGAGAGTTGAGAAGTATTAAGACAGGAAGCTGCCTGAAGCTATAAACACCAATCTATTGCCCCAATCAAATCAAAGCATTTGCCCCAATGCTCAGGCAGGCTAAGGATTATGGGAAATACAGTTCACTACCCTCTGTAGTTCCACGTTTAGCCATGACTGTATACAAAGTATAGCATTATTGCATTAGTTAATTAGTTAATGTAGTTAACTGTATGATTACCGAGTTTTCAGATTTTAACACCCAATTATTTACCAAATTGGTTTTGCTTTTCAGTTTAGATGTTGAAGCTTGTTTTGAATACACAGCAAAACCCGATGGTTACAGTCCAGTTTTAAGTAAGTAATTTTTTTAATATCTGAAATTACTGTTTGATGACGTGTGTTTTAATAACTGCTATAGTCAAAATAAAAATGTCACAAAGTGGCCAGGCATTACCCATAATTTTATTAGAAATGTGGTATATCAGTCTATGACATGCAGTTAGGGTCCATAGAATTTGTGAGATAAAATGCATTTTGATTTGTGTGATAAATTAACGTTGAAATAAATGTAATATCAGCTGTATTAAAGAGCAAACTGTAACTTAATACAGGTATCCTCTTTATACCTTCAGTTCTGGAGGAGAATGATTGCAATGTTTATGTGTAGAATGGTCAAGTAACAGTTTTCTTCCCTTTTTAGCACTTAACTACACGTTTGAGGTTGAACGCGAAAGGCAAGAGTTAAAATTACCTTCAAGAGTTAATTTTAAAGATCAACAATTTATAAATACGTTGACAAATACAATTGACCTCACGGGCCAAAATCAAAAGAAGTGTGTAAAAACATCTCTGGTGTTGCAGGTAAGTAGAGAAAAACCCAATTGAATTATTTTATTTAACTGTATTTGGAATGCTTTTACTAGAAAAAAAAATATTATTAAATTAAAGGAATTAAAAGATAAAAACAAAAATAGAGCAAAAATAATAGATTGATATACAGAGATTCTTTAAAGAAAGTGAGAATGATAGATTATTAGTATGCCAGATAAAACAGAGGATATATTGTAATGTAGTTTACACTAGTAGCCTATTTATTCAGTTACACTCAAAAAGTTAGAAACAGCGAATTACCAATAGCTCCCATAGGCCACCGCACCAGCCATTGGGAGCCGTATTTAGTGATGTTGGTGGAATCAGTCTGATATACAACTGGTAAAGGTTCTAATGTGACGGGACAAGTGAGCTAAAATGTGTTTGAGATCTTAACGGGGATCTACCAAAAGGGAAAACTGATTGAGTATTTGTCTCTCTTCATATACTAAGCTTTGATCTCATTGTATGTAAATAAACAAGAAAACAAACCTACTTCTAGAAAAATAAAAAATAAATCTGGACTTTTCTACATTTGGCACATTTATTTCACGATAAGAACTTTCTATACATTGTGTTTCTATGATATGTTGTTCCTTATGTCGTATAATTTTTTTTTTAAGGAACCCATTAGGGATAAATTGCGGCAGATACCGGTGTCTATTACAGCAGATATAAAACGTGCTCGTTCTTCTGGCTCACAAAGGAGTGCCCTCCCTGAGCTGCTTCCAATTCTGAATATAAATGAACCAAAAACCACTACTGCAAATGTAAGTGTTCCCCCAAAGCAATGATTATATGTTTGTATTGATTTTACAGATTATTATTTTTATTTTATTTTTTACAAACACCAATTTATCAATCAGAAGATATTGCCAACTGTCCGTTAATGATTGTTTATTGGATACATTTCTCAACCGTAGCTTCTTCAGACAGTGCATGCTAAGCTTCCCAATTAGAACCATTCTATTCTCAAATAACAACTGTAGCTACAAATCTTTGCACCAATTAACCCCTTAAGGACACATGACGGAAACATTCCGTCATGATTCCCTTTTATTTCTGAAGTTGTGTCCTTAAAGGGTTAAATAAGGAAACAAGATAGCGGATCCCATCTAAACACTTGGGAGCAGGGGAGAAGGTTTAGATAGTTTGTAGAATGTCTTCCCCAAAGAGACAGAGAGTGACCACTGAAAGAAAATGTCATATTTGCTGTCTTGAGGGGGTTGGATAAATATATATTTACACCCCTGATGGTGACAATGAGTTTAATGGATCTCAATATATTGATTAAGGTTGCCAATCATGTAAAATATGAAAATAGAGCAATGTTTGAGTGACATAATGGTGGTGATTCATTATGTGTTATTACAGACTGCCATAGGAGAGCCCTTTATGATGGTGCCTTTATAGCTACAATTAGGAGCTAGTTAGGTTTAAATGGTTGTATAGTAAAACAGAAATAAATACTACACCAGTCTGGGGGTACAAGTGTCAGGATCAATCTAAAAAATAAAAAACATAAAAACATAGTGCAAACTGTGTAAACATATGTTAAACCCCCATATAGGATGGAACTCGCAGGATGCAGAGCCGTCCCAGGCTCTATAGATTAAGCAGGAGGGTGCCTTTCAAAGGCTAAAGCGATATCTTCAAAGGAGAGCAGCACAGGATAAAAAAAAAAGTCAAAAATGTATTGGTAAACAGATAAAAAAAAAAGGAAGGGACAATTAAGCAGTGAAAACATGTATATAATTACTTCTGCACTGCTGCCATTTCATGTGTGGGGGATGTGGAGCTTTTAACATTTTGGGGTTCCTCACGAGTCCATGGAGGGGGTCCATGGAACACACCTCCCCTATTTCCACACACAATGTACAGATTGTTGTATTGCTGGTACATAACTCAATGATTTCTTAGGTCCAGTTTCTGAAAGAAGGGTGTGGAGATGACAATGTATGTAACAGCAACATGAAAGTTGACTACAAGTTTTGTTCCAAAGAGGGAGCAGACACATTTGCTGAATTACCAAAGTAAGTTTGATTGCACATTGACTTTATGTGGAATTTATTTGATAATCTGCTTTTTTTTTAATTTTAATTTTACTATTTTTCTTTTCTTTTTTTCTTTTTTACTCAGAGAAAATGGTGTCCCAGTCTTGGTTCTCAAAAATCAGAAGGACATTGCTCTAGAATTAACTGTCACCAACAATCCATCGGATTCAAGAAATCCTAAAAAGGACGGTGATGATGCCCACGAAGCTAAACTCATTGCAAGTTTACCAAGCAGCTTGTCGTTCTCTTCTATGCGCGACCTTACTAACACCCCCGTAAGTAAATGAAATGATATTAATTTGAATTTGGCTATGTTTTAGTAATGCGTTTAACACCCCCCCTTTTTTATGTAATTGTAGGATAGACAGTTCATGTGTTCATCAAATCCAAATGGCTCAGAAGTCACATGTGAGCTCGGAAATCCTTTCAAGAGAAACACCAATGTAAGTGACCAGTAATAGTTATTTAATACAAAAATACTCAGTCTAGCCCTGTCCTGTATATTCTTGTGAATATTTGTAAGTGTTTAACATTAAATGGACAGCCGAGGCAGCCTAACTAGCAGAGCCTGCTGATATGTTCAGGACAAAGTTATATTTTTAATGTTGAAAAATAACTTTTGTACTAGCAATATGCTGAGCAAGGGGTTGAGACACTGGCACCTGGGGGACTGGCTCAAGGGGCACAATGACACCATAGCCTCCAAAGAGAGGCAATGACAGCGTAGATGTGACTAGGGCTACATAAACATAAATGGGATTTAACTCCTAAATGGCCTAGACAGGTAGGCTGCAGGGCCATGATGTATACACCAAAACCACTTCATTAAGCTAAACTTGTTTTGTGCTTAAAGTGTCCCTCAAAGCTTGTTAGCAAGCTCATACCAGCCTTTCATCATTCTGAGGTCAATACACAAGTACCATTAACTGGGGTAATAGTAACATCAAGATGTACTTGGAAACTGATGAAATAAAGACACCAAATATCCTCTGACAGTATTATTATTACTGTTACTGTTATTATTGAGTAATGTACATACTTGGGCAATTATTGTGCGTCTTGTAATCCATTTTGCAGCAATGTGAGATATGTTGCCTATTTATAACAACAATAATAATGATATGATAGTAATGGATGTAACTCATTGGATTGAGTCTTCTTAACTCAGTTCGAGAGATTTTAATCAGTTTGCTTGTTCTAGACATATCTCTCCCTTGGATATTTGACATTGTTATTTCGCCCTTTTTCAGATGACATTTTACCTGATTTTGAGTACAAATGACGTATCTGTTGCAACTATAGACCTGGACGTCAATCTCCGCCTGGAAACGTATGTCTGATTTTTTTTTATTTGTTTACTTACAGTCTTGGTCATGTTTGTACAAAGCACCCTGTCTAAAATGGCATGTGTGGTTATTTTTATTTTCAGAACAAGCTCCCAGCCCAACCTTCAGCCTCTTTTGGCCAAAGCTCGGGTAGTAGTTGAACTTCTTCTGTCTGTATCCGGGTAAGTTGTAATTTTACTTATTTTTTTTTTCCATTCATTTCTGTCTCTCAGGCAACTAAATTTGAAAAGGTAACTGGTTTCGGGTCCAAACCTAGGTGTTAATGACCATTGGTGCATGTGAAGATAATTTAGTTTGACTTATTACATTGGTGTTAAACAAAGTAACAGTAATTTGTAGGAACATTTAAATAATTAGATATTTTTCTAATGTGCTTTGTTTAACCATAAACATAATATTTAGAACTCCTATACATAGATATAATAATCTGATATTTTACCAGAACACCATGATTAAAATAATAAATAAATAAACATTTACAAAAGCTGTTAAACAAGAAGTATGTTGAATAAGGAAAAATAAACATATTTTTGGGGAAAATGTACACAAAATATCAATGATACTTAAAGCAGTCCAATTGCATTTTTTCAATTTTTTTTTTTATAATTTGTGAGTGCCAACAAAAACCTTTTTTTCATAATTTTTTTAATCTTACTGTTATGATTGCTTTAAACGTAAATTTTAAGTGACCCTGTTTGAGAATCTTTCCTCTTCCTTTCTTTACCTGGTTTGCCTCAGTTCTATGATCTAAGAATGTACCGTGTGCAAAAAGTTATCAACATTCTTCACATCACTAGTAGTCAACAAAAATATGTTTTTAAGTGTTCATATAACTTAGAATGAAACAGCTATAGCAAACGTGTTTTTAATTTAGAAGTGGACGTTTTCTGTTCCACACAAGAAACATGCAGATTTCTCCTCCTAGACAGTATTTTCTATGTTTTGTAAAAAAAATTGCTGTTCTGTTCCTTTTTAGAGTTGCCAAACCTTCCCAGGTGTACTTTGGAGGGAATGTTTTAGGAGAGAGTGCAATGAAATCAGAAGAAGACGTTGGAAGTCCAATTGACTTTGAGTTCAGAGTGAGTACTTTTTACTATTTCATGTATAGTTTTCTTTCATTTCCCTTTTTATTACACACTTAGAGCGCCCCCTTCTGTACAAAACACTACAGTGTCATGCTTGAAAAAAGTTGAATCAAAAATCTCAATCTCAATATCTGTGGATGGAGTATCCTTCAAGGTATGCTCAGATAGCTGAACCTGGTAAGGAGTGGACATTTTGTTACCAACCAGGCAACCCCAGACCATGACCTAGTCAAGCAAGTGCACTCAAACCTTTCATTGACATGGTATATTGTTTTTTTGTTTTTTTTTCTCTAAAAAATTGTATATGCTTTCATTTATGTGTAGATCACTAATTTCGGAAGACCTCTTAAAGCCCTTGGCACTGCATTTTTGGAACTTCAGTGGCCAAAGGAAATAAAAAATGGAAAATGGCTGCTTTACTTGATGAAGATAGATTCAAAAGGACTAGATAAAATTACTTGTGAACCGGAGGGTGAAATCAATAAACTAAGATTGAAGGTATGTTCATATTTTTTTCTATGTTATGAATAGACCCGTTTCTTATTTAATAACTCAGGTAGATCTGCTGTATGCCCCACCTTGGACTTATTTCTCAAAAACTGCAAAATGAGAATCGCCTTCGAGCATCTATAATGCACATCGGAAGTGGTCAACATGGAACTCATGGAACACACATACACCATGTTAAAAATTCTGGAGATTACCTGTGGGTTTTTTTAGTTTAAAATTTTATTAAAATTGGCTCCTAGAACTATTTGTACACTGAAAAAGACCCTATCCTGTTCTTCTTGTCTCTTCCAAGTGAAGACAACATTTGAAGCTCCCCTTATCGAAGCCTCTGGTGATATAGTTGAAATATATACATAACTCAAAAAACCCTTATAGGTTTCTGAATATTATTGTCTTATAGTGTGTATGTTTTCTAATTGAAAATGTGAACTAATGTTATTTTTTGTAATCAATATGTAATCTTTAACAACCATACTATTTCCTTCCTCTGATAGGAGGCAGGGAAGACTAGAAACAGACGTGAACTGGGAGAAAAAGAGACAGGGAAAGAAGATAAACTATATTCTCTGTTTTCTGAAAGGAAATACTTGACTTTGGTAAGAACTGACAATTTGTTCATGTTTCAGCCTTTTGCTTGGATGGACCCAAAAGACACTGGTGGGCATAGGGTGTCACTTGAATAGCCCCCTCCTCCTGGTTTTGCAGGGCTACTCACTAAACACAGTGTTAAAATTATATTTAAATGGAAAATCAGAGGCTATAATAACTGATTTAGAAAAATGATACATCAGAACTTTTGCCCCAGGTTGGCTAATTCAACCTCAGTTTAGCCTTTCAGATTTAATTTGCTAAAAGTCTGTGCTTTATGAATTGCCCTGTTGATCTCTAATTCTAAACATTGCAAAGTCCACAAAAATGACAAATGACCCAACCTTGTAATAAAGGTGGTTGACCTCCATGCTGCCATTAGATAAGGCCACTGTCTTTTTGCACATTTGATTTGCGTCTTTTTACCATGATAGTTTTTATCATGCTGTTTAAATACAGTATACATTCTACAAATCTACGGTGTGCTAAATATACAATATGGTAAAAAAAAAAAACACAAAAAAAAACTAATAGTGGCACTTTTATTCCACCACCAATATTTTGATAGTGAAAGAGTGAAGGAATATTACCAAAAGTGTTTATCTTCATGTGTGCTATTTTCATAAAAAACAGAGCAGACTGTATATATTAGAACTAATTAGTATGATATATGTATAAATAAGACTGATTGTTGTCTTTGACAGCCATCGGATAAACTGGCCAGTTCTATATAACCGTATATACATGATCTCTGACAATGTTTTCTTTATATGAATTCCAGGACTGTAATAACCATGCAAAATGTGTAAAAATTAGATGTCCACTTCAAGGCTTGGACAGTAATGCGGTGGTTACGGTGCGCTCAAGGTTATGGAATGGTACCTTTTTGGAGGTAAATCTGCAATAACACACATAGTAAACTCGATGTTTATGTTTTAACATAGTATTTGCATTGGGTTACAATTTTTTCTAATTTTAGTTTGGAATTATAAAGGCTAAAGATATTCATAAATACAGCACCAACGAGAATAGAAATGGGCCAAGTTTGAAAGAAGATATTGTTATTTGTACCTTCAAACACTAACATCAAAAGTTACAAACAAAATAGTTAAAGGAAGGGAGAAACTAAGATGAAAGAGAACAATATAAGACCACAAAGAGGATAAGGAGTGGTATGGGAAAATCTATCCTGATAATCCTTCCAAGGTGTCCATACTGCATAGACAAAATTAGGGGAGGCATGGCCCCTTTCCATAAATGTATTAATCCTCATGTTATCTTCTATCATAGACAGTACCCTGACGATTTGGGAGTATGACCCATACACCAGATTTCTGTGATGGACCCCTCTGGCCACTAGTGAGCCAGGCTGAAGGCTTATTTTCACGTTTAGTATGGCTCTTCACAAATCTGGAGAGGAGATAAGCCTGTGGGTCCACAGGGCTGGTGGAAACGTTTATCATTTAGGAATTTTCCTGAGTTATGAAATTTCAACACAATTATACTTTTGTCAGTTAGTTATGCTGGATTGAAGCTCATTGTTTTTCAGTGCTATGTCATTGTGATGCATGAATGGTCTACCAAGATAATGGTAGACCATTCATCAATATAACAGGCCATTTGAAACAAAAGAAAAAAAAAACAGTATCGTCACTGAAAGCATTAAATATACAATACAGAACAGGATAATAAAGCATTGATTATGGATGGGATGATTCCGTTTGCTGTTAAACAGACTACTATCTCTTTACAAGAACAAGGGCACAACCATTCTATAGCATTTTTTTTCCAAATACTTTTTTTTCTCTGAATGCAAAATGTATAGCTATGTATTATTGTATACAGAAAATAAAAACAGACTGTATTTTTTCCTCTTGGGTTATTAGGGTACTCAAGTAACAGACCTTATTCTGCTGCCTTTGGAGTTAGCGCTGTATCTCCCCTTCTTTTTATTCCTGGTGTATTCTTGTATTTTTCATTTTACATTTGTTTCAAACAGGAATATTCAAAGATGAATTACCTTGACATTCTGGTGAAAGCTTCTATCAAAGTGGATACAACTTCTCAAAACGTTAAATTGACAAACGACGATTACCAGGTACATAATCCCCAATATGTGATCTGCATGCAATGTAGTTATATTTATTTTTAAAATTTATTTTATTTTAACAATGTATATATTTATTTTTCTCGTTTAGGCATGATAAAGACTACATGCAGTTATAGATGTGGTGTTAAAAGTACAAATATATTTCCCAGTAAAGGGAGCAATGGTGAATAAATAACTAGATACACAAATCTGTATGGTTCACGTATATTTCCCACCAAGTTAGAACAGGTTCCTCCATTGATTTTGTTGAACTCTATGCAGGTTCTGCGATATTATCCCCTAGGGATAAGCTTGTTGCTCCCTCTGGAATGAGATGGAGATATAATTATTGTAAGATTTTATTTGGGAGCTTGCGGGATGTTACATTAGACTGTTCAATGCCGCAAATTTATAATAATACGCTAATTGTCCTAGTTTTTCTCCAACCAATCACCATACGCTTATGCCTATTTAAGCCTATCTCTGACATCACTTTCTTGCCCTGTCGTGGTTCCTCTGATTAAATACTCTCATTGTAGCCATAGTTTATCGCTTTATTTAATGGTGTACAACGTGGTGTATTTTAAAATGTATTTTGTTTGTTTTTTTAATCCCTTTCAGGTGCGTCTGACCGTTTTCCCTGAGAAGACTGTAGCTCAGTACACCGGAGTGCCATGGTGGATCATCTTTGTTGCTATTCTTGCGGGAATCTTAATGTTGGCACTTTTAGTTTTTCTGTTGTGGAAGGTGAGTACATGTTTATTCTAAATGTTATTATTAAAATTGCTTAACTTAATCTGTAAATGTTAACTGAATCTGTCGTACAGTGGTATGCGTAGTAGGTAGTGATAGTGAAAGAAGTTGTAGGAGTAGTGGAAGCAGTAATAGCCGTATTCAAGTTATACAATCGTTTAATTAATAATGACCGCATTAGACTTCCATCTAAGTTTTCACCAGGAATTTTCTAACAAACGTCTACACTGTATCTACATTGAGTGTTCTATTTCATATTTCTTTCCAACTTTTTTTTTTTTTTTTTTATAAAATCACATATCAACCTGATTTTTTTTAACATTTTTTTTTTTAATGTAAATGTATTATTCATGTGTATGATTGCTTTTTGAATGATTTTTTAATCTATAATCATGATAATTCATACAATCTTTCCCATGACCTTGATTCTTTGTAGTGTGGTTTCTTCAAGAGAGATAAGAAAGATCAGTTTGATGCTACATATCACAAGGCTGAGATCCATGCTCAGCCGTCAGATAAAGAGAGACTAACTACTGATGCATAGTATTGATCAACAATCTGTGATTTGGTAATTGATTATTTTCAATTGGTGGCTGCGGATCATGTTTTTTGGCTGCAAGGGTTTTGGAACTTAACACTCGCTTTTGCTGCACTGAACTTTTATTAATCAATGGATTTTTTGTGTGCATTTTCCTTGTTTCTCTCTGCAATAAAAGTGATGATAATTTGGAAACACACCATTCTTTAGTCAATGGGGTATATTCACTATTTATTTTAGATTTACCAATATAGCTTCCTTATCCAGGGATAACTACCTAGAGAAGTAATCATAATGTTTTAGTGACTTAATTAAACATGAAGGTAAAACAGAACTAAAGCAATATTTGCAAATGTAAAAAGGACATGTAATGTCAGGAATTGGGGATAAAAGTGAGGCACATGATCAAAGATTTTGAACTCAATGGGGCCAGTGAGGGATTGACCTATATAAGTCAAGGAAGTGTATGTCAATAAACGGGTCTTTGACAGGTTGTGTGGACAATGGCCAATTGGATATGATAAGGGCGTTTGAAAATCAGAGTTGAGGTTAGGAGGAAGAATGATGAATTCTGAATGAATACATTGATAAGAGGGACAGGTAGGAATACAGAAGGAGAAGAAGTCATAGTCAGGTACCAGGTTTTCTAAAGGTTTGTGTTGTAGAGTAAATATTCGAAAATTGGTTATTGGTAGACTAGAAATTAGGTATGTTGAGGGCGAATAACCGCAACATATTGAGTTTGCTAAAGTGGGCTACTGGTGTAGGAAGTTTAGGAAGATCAGGGAGGTGAGGTTGTGGTAGTCTGGTAAAGATAATAGATTACATGAGAAGTTCGAGGCAGAGCAGGTACTCAGTATATGGGTTTTTCAGTTAGGAAAGAGGTGAACAGGGTTGGTACAAGTAACAGAGAATATCTGATTGTCATAGAGAAGATGACAAGATGACACTAACTTTGTGAACTTTGGGGAGGATGTTTGGGATTGGGAAATACTGAAAGAGAAAGTGATAGAGATGGTACTGCCAGGTAAATGTAAAAGATTCTCATTTCATCCAAGATGGACATTTTTTTTCTACTTGTCTATATTGAACTGAATTAAGAGTTTTCACCTCAAATCACCACCTAGTGAATATACCCCAGTGAAAATTACTATTTCCCAAACTGGATTAGGAACCTCTAAAATTATTGATCTATTCTGACTTTAAACTGATTTAAATGCAATAGGTTGCATCTAAAATTCCAATATTAGATGAATTCTCAATAAGAATGTGTGTGTTTTCATACGAAGATTTGTCAAAGGGATGTCTATGGTGTATTTCCTGGCTTTGTGAGGGTTAATTGTTCTTTATTTCCTGCTTATTTTTTATTATGCAATTTTAATAAAATCTAAAACTTAATTCTGATACGTTGTGTAAGGCAACAAAAGTCACTATATAGTATTCTATCTACCATTATTTCATAAGGATTTAGATAAGAACAGCAAATGCAACATTTTGTACCCTTTACACATCACAGTGGATCTCTGTAACACGGTGTATATAGCGTACTGTGAGACTCTGCAATAAACTCATATACTGCACATTACTATTAGACTCTGCAATACACTCACACATACTGCCCATTACTATTAGACTCTGCTATACACTCACACATACTGCCCATTACTATTAGATCCTGCTATACACTCACACATACTGCCCATTACTATTAGACTCTGCTATACACTCACACATACTGCCCATTACTATTAGATCCTGCAATACACTCACACATACTGCACATTACTATTAGACTCTGCTATACACTCACACATACTAACCATTACTATTAGACTCTGCTATACACTCACACATACTAACCATTACTATTAGACTCTGCTATACACTCACACATACTGCCCATTACTATTAGATCCTGCTATACACTCACACATACTGCTTATTACTATTAGACTCTGCAATACACTCACACATACTGCCCATTACTATTAGATCCTGCTATACACTCACACGTACTGCCCATTACTATTAGACTCTGCTATACACTCACACACACTGCACATTACTATTAGACTCTGCTATACACTCACACATACTGCACACTACTATTAGATCCTGCTATACACTCACACATACTACCCATTACTATTACATCCCGCTATACACTCACACATACTGCCCATTACTATTAGATCCTGCTATACACTCACACATACTACCCATTACTATTAGGTCCTGCTATAGACTCACACATACTACCCATTACTATTAGATCCTGCAATACACTCACACTTACTGCACATTACTGTTAGACTCTGCAATACACTCACACATACTGCCCATTACTATTAGATCCTGCTATACACTCACACATACTGCACATTACTATTAGATCCTGCTATACACTCACACATACTGCACATTACTGGTATACACTCACACATACTGCCCATTACTATTAGACTCCGCAATACACTCACACATACTGCACATTACTACTAGATCCTGCTATACACTCACACATACTGCCCATTACTACTAGACTCTGCTATACACTCACACATACTGCCCATTACTATTATATCCTGCAATACACTCACACATACTGCACATTACTATTAGATCCTTCAATACACTCACACATACTGCACATTATTATTAGACTCTGCAAACCACTCACACATACTACCCATTACTGGTAGACCAATCAGTACAGTGTTATAGACTGCACATTGTTGTGGATCCTTTAGTACACTCATACATTGCACATTACTTTTGGCCCTTCAGTATACCTATACGCTGTGCACATTATTGTATGGCTCTTTTACACACTGCATGTTACTGTGGGGCCTAATATTCTTCCCATGAAGTTGGACACCAGTGGGCATGTGTAAAAGGGGGTGGAACTCTGTTACACAATGATACACACTGCACACTGTGGAACTCTGTCACACACTGATACACACTGCACACTTTGGAACTCTGTCACACACTGATACACACTGCACACTGTGGAACTCTGTCAACTCTGTCACACACTGATACACACTGCACACTTTGGAACTCTGTCACACACTGATACACACTGCACACTGTTGAACTCTGTCACACACTGATACACACTGCTGATACACACTGCACACTGTTGAACTCTGTCACACACTAATACACACTGCACACTGTTGAACTCTGTCACACACTGATACACACTGCACACTGTTGAACTCTGTCACACACTGATACACACTGCGGAGCTCTGTCACACACTGATACACACTGCATACTGTTGAACACTGATACACAATACTCACTGTGGAACTCTTGTCACACACTGGTACACACTTTACACAGTGGAACTCTGTCACACTCATACAATATGCACAGTTGAACTCTGTCACACAATGATACACACTGCACACTGTTGAACTCTCACACTGATACACACTGCACACTGTGGAACTCTGTCACACACTGATACACATTGCACACTGTGGACCTCTGTCACACACTGGTACACACTTTACACAGTGGAACTCTGTCACACACTGATAAACACTGCACACTGTTGAACTCTGTCACACACTGATACACACTGCACACTGTGGACCTCTCACACTGATACACACTGCACACTGTGGAACTCTGTCACACACTGATACACATTGCACACTGTGGACCTCTGTCACACACTGGTACACACTTTACACAGTGGAACTCTGTCACACACTGATAAACACTGCACACTGTTGAACTCTGTCACACACTGATACACACTGCACACTGTGGACCTCTGTCACACACTGATAAAAACTGCACACTGTTGAACTCTGTCACACACTGATACACACTGCACACTGTTGAACTCTGTCACACACTGATACACACTGCATGTTATTTGAAAGCTCTGCAATATATTCAAATAATGTTGTGTGACCACCACACCCAAGAAAAGGTGATCTAGAAATATTTTAATCAGTCTTTGATTAAAAATTTTTTTAAAAAGTGGTCAGATTTACATAAAATGATCACAAGCTTTTTGATGACAGTATCACTTTAATTGGTTGGATCACTGCTGTCTCTCGCTAACTATGTCTTGGACAAACACTTTCCTATATTCTGTCTAATTGTCTGCATTTAACATCTTAAGCACATGTAGATGTTCTTTTGTGTAAATCCCAGGATGACTGTGATCTTGTCTCTCATTGCAGTGTGGGTTCTTTAAGCGCTCCAGGTACGATGACAGTGTCCCAAAATACCATGCTGTACGAATTCCCAAAGAAGATCGACAACTCAAAGACAGTAGTCTAGCAAAAGACTGTGAGAAAAAGCAGTGGGTCACTAAATGGAATGAAAATGAAAGCTATTCTTAGGGAGTTTTTATTTAAATTTTATTATTTTTAGTCATTGAAAGATTATTGAAATATTGCTGATATGTGTATGTGACAGAAACAAGAGGCTTTGACCCCTTAAGGGCATGCTGGCCTTTTACGTCTGAAGCTGTGTCCTTAAAGGGTTAAACATTGGTGGTCTCACGGTATTCTTACTTATCCTGAGGCCTTGGGCACCATAAACATGTGGATGGTTACAGACATGAGATTTGCATGTGAAATATTGATAGAGTTGTGATAGGTTGAGAGATCTCTTGAAGTCCTATGTTATTCCATATACTTGGAAAATAGGGGCAGTGTCAATATGGCCTTCCAGAATGGAATGAATCGATTTTGGTGCAAATATGTCCAATATATGGCGTCTGTGCTCTATAACATAGATTTTATTTTAATATAAACTGAGATTTAATAGAATTATAAAATGACTTAACGGAGATCTCCAACTTATCATAATTTAGTACATCTCTCTCTCCGTTCTTCAAAAGGGAATGGGTCCTGTTTGTTACCTAAGCTAATGTGAAAGTTTTAAGCAATAAAATAGTTATATGGACCGCAAGCTGAAACTCCCTTTTGAAAGCAGGGCTGCATTTTCATCATTTAAGACCCACATATTGCCTTTCATTTTTTTTAAATGTCCCTTCCATGATCTGCCTTATTGTACAACTTGTGGTATCACTGACCATGCCAGCATATCGCACTGTGATATATTGTAATATATGGTATATATAAATCGGCCAGAGTTCTATGCTAATCTAATCAAGCAAGTGGCCTCTGAGGTCATCTTTGCTAATGGAGCTTATGATTGTTTTTTTCTATGTTGGTGACTAATCGCATAACAGGACTGGCAAAATCTGCCTTCGTACATCTTTACAGCCAAATAAATCTGCCTTGCAATGCTGAGAATCGACATGCAAAGGAAGCCTGTGATAGTCTATGCAAAATAGCAATTCGCAAAAAAAATGCAGTCGTCGTTTATGACATTGCCAAAAACAGCTATTATTTTAGTGTCATTTTATGGGCGTATAATGATCTAACACTTTAATTGCCCCTCTTTGGAATTCAAAGAGTTACACTGGCAATTGACAATCTATGGTTTACTGACAACGTTTTTCTACAGCTGCTGTGATCATCGGCTAGCTAAGGGACCTGCAGATTGTCTACACTTGACTTAAAGTTTTGTCTGTATTTAAATGTGCAATAGGTTGTCATCTTTTTGTATTGTACCATCTGTGAATTATGTGTCAGAACAAAGTTTCAAAAAAAATACAAAAAAACGCAAAAATAGAATCTTGCTAGGATAACCTTCCGCTGTACATAACTTGACTTACGGGGTATTTATTACTTTTTTGCCTTTAACATTAAGGCCAGGAAATAACTACATGAACCGCTTTTCAAATAATTGATGTGGGCTACGGTAATCAAAATTAACGTCAGTGCAATTATACTTTGTGTTCATAGAACATGTTTAAAATATTGCTACACAAGAGAAGACATCCTGCCTACATGTTTTAATATGCCTGTTTAAATAGATTGTGTTTTTTGTTTGTTTGGTTGTTGTTTTTTTTAACAGTTGAAATGTCTGTGCCCAATCGTTTAAAAAAAGTAGTTTGTGTTCCGGAAAAAAAAAAGATATATCATGGAACCTACTCATGGAACAAAATTATCATTCAATAAAAAGACGTATGTCTGTGAAACATTTATTTTTATAAATTTGGTGTGCACCTGTCTTTTTAATCTCAGCAAATCCAAAACTGGAAAGATCTTTTTTAATACGGATGTAAATGAGATTTACGTTCAAGAGAATCGGCTCTGCCAATAAATTACTTATTCGGAAGATTCAACATAGATGTAAGGTGATATATTCTGTATAACGTGTCTATGCAGAATGCTAGTTTGGACGTCATTCATACCTGAACAGGAACTGCTTTATTTAAAAAATAAATTGGTAATTAAAAGTAAATTAAAGAGCTGTTTGGTGATTAACTTGTAATATTCTTATTATACTGGAACAATGATAGTTTTCTAGACAATGGATTATTATTATTACCTGTTAGTTAATTTTATTACATTTATTTGTGTGCAGAAGGATTTTGTAATAGGGTGTAAATACGTGCTTAAATACGTTTTAAAAGTGTTCTATCAAAGAGCAGGAATGGCAGGAAAGTCTGATGGGTTATATTCAGCACAAATGATTTCAAATAAATATATTGTTATACTTTGTATTTAGGTTAAATTTTTTTAATACATGGCCGGGTAGCTGCAACTGTCAGAGTGCAACTCCCATCACGGCTCGAACAACTGAATTTAGTATGACATTGAAGTGCCTCCCGTAATTCATTGAACTGGAGAAATCCAACACTGAGTAGTAACTAATAACAACAAAGTATTTAACTAGGAAAGGTATTCCAATTCCAATTACTCTGGTCAACATCTAGGGGATGTTACGTCACTTAACATGATCATTGGACAACGTTTTATTTGCAATGTATTGATTTAATATCTTGGAGCACGGAATTTATGAACTACCATTTCTCTCAGGCTCAGCCAGCCTCTCTTTGTTGTGGCAGGTGGCCTGTTTTTGCCAGGTGCTTTTAGCTCCAAGAAAAGTGGTTTAAATTTTCACCGTGGCTGGAAACCATCACTCTAAATGCACCTTCCTTATATGTAATACCTGGGTTTCCTCCCCTTTAAAGAGCAGTATGAATAATTCCGCTAATGTATGTATCTTCACGTATGAATCACATAGCACATATTTTATTTTGTGTTCTGTCTCTGTAAAACAGCTCGATAAGAATTCTTAGAACGTGCAGAAATTCTAAACTGATATCCATGAACGCGATGGATTAGTAGTAATAAAAAGTTGTCTTGCCAATAGAGTTCTAAAATCTAGAATAAATTAGCCAATTAAAGAAATAATCTAGCAATAAAAGGGTGAATTGTCACGAATTCACATATGTTTTCAGTTAGATTTTATTGATTGAAAATAGAAAATTCACTTTGAAATCCTGGTATTTCATACCATAGCGAATAATCCTGTCTGTAACATATTTATAGACTTTATGTTAATAGTAAAATATGCAGATTAATTTGAGTCTTTTTTCTGAAATATAAAAAAAATAAGTTTCATCCTCTTCTTTGCAAATTTTAACAAAACCTAAATACTTTATTATATTTTACTAGCATTTAATATTAGAAGGAGGTGCTAATGCAGAGATTAATATTCTGCACTAACGTTTAGATTAGAACAAATGTGCCGCAAAACTACTGTGTATATATTCCTGCTACCGCCTCTCAGCTGCTAAATAGCTGACAAACACTGGATTGATAGTCTCATTATAGGGGCATATAGAATAATTCCTATAATATATAATATGCCTTATAATACCTAAATAAACTAATTTTCTTAGCGATATATTTTGATGTAGATTTTAAGATGAATAATAACTCTGAATAGAAGGCGTGATAATATTGAGATTCAGTAACCCAGGAGATTAAATCATTAGATAATGGTTATTGATAAGAATGACAAATGGTGCCTTACTGCTCTCACTGCTATCCATAAGAACGAATGTGATCCTCTTGCACAAGCTCAGTACAGCTGTCCATTGATTTCAGTAGGGAAGATAACAGAGCTAAGTGTATTGGGCATCGCTGTTCCCTATGGACATATCCAACAGTAAAATGTAAATACATGAGCTATATAGCCAAGCTGCACTTTTTCCAAAAACCCAAAAAGAACAAATCTGAAGCCTTAACAGTGTCGCTGTTAATCCAGTTAACATTTCCTAGATAGGAGAGGCTCTTTTTGGACAGAAAGAAAAACCCGTTAATGTAGCTAGTTTGTTATTGAACTTTGACAGTGCCTTTAATGCAGGTTGGTTGAGGGAATTCAAGTGAAACTAACATAAACTGTGTGTAGGCCTGAGTTCAGGTCTAAATATTAGCCGTAGTCTGATTCCTCGGTTTTTGACCTGTGACTTGAAGACTGATAAAACCTGCTTTGATGCTCCATTGACCTTCAGGAATGAATCCCATTTTAGAGTTTTTGGAATGGTTAATGTATCTTCTTTCTTTTTTTCTTTAAATAACGTGTTTCAAATGTCTGTAGCTCCTTGGATGGAGAGCTGGGTTTAAGTGATGGTAGTGTTAAAACCATAGGGTCAGAGATATCTTCATTATTGGTTCTAATGCATTCCTTGCTTTGACATTCCCATTGACCTCATGGAAATATATAGTAGGTAGACTCATATGATACAATGAGCTATGTTAGTATTGCCATGTATCACAATGTAAAGGAGATATCAGCTGTTCCCATCATTATGTTATTATTTTAGGGGAATTAAAGTCTCTCAGGTACTTCCCTAATGGTCCATCAGGTAGTTTGCCCTCTTGGGTGGTTATATCGTAATATCGTGCCATCAAGAATCCAGCACCAAGTGTGAATCCAGGCAATAGATATATTCATCTCATTACAGTTACGTTCTCTTCTTGTCCACACTGGTTTATATTTATAGAGAAATTGTCCCTCTTTTGTTCACATGATTGATAGCGGAAAGCTGAGTCTTGATGTTATTCTTTAGATCAATGTAGTTTTAGAAATGTTTACAAAGTATACATTTAAGATAAGAACTAGAATTCTGAGAACTAGATACATTTATCGTAAGATTGCAACCTGCAGGGTATATACTCAGGACTCACCTGTACCTGTAAGATGCTTAATGCAAAATTAATCTCATCATTATTTAATATTATGCTTCTTAGAGCATTCTGACTTTTGACTCCCCTTGTATATTAAATGTTGGCAAAAATATATAATTTCAATAAAATACCATTTGTTTCAGCGAGAACCAACTCTGTCTCGTCCATATGTTAGTCTATACACGAGGACCTTCATGTTTCTGCACATGGTCTTCCTCGGACAGTGATGTCTGCTCTTTATCACTCCAGTTGCTCTGGACTATATTTCTAGGAGTGTCAGTCTCAGCATCATGGGAAATGTAGTCAAAACAATTTGGGTACCAAGGTTTAGGCCTCACTATTCTAGAAGACAAAAGGAACCAAAAATGTTTTATTCATAGAAGTAAAAGCTCTGTAAACACACAGCTAAAAACACCTCCTGTAGATTGTTACACGACGCTGCATAAAGCTATGTTAAAATGCATTATTACAGATATATTCAGTTTACACTAAGGATACAGAACACTTAATGACTTAATAACACTTAAAAGATGTCTCTTTTTTTTTTTTTTTGCTACTGGACTAGATTGCCTGGCCGGCTAATAACAATTCAGAGCATATTGGATGTCTGTCTGTATGTCGTTAGGCAGGCAACAGGAATACAATGGCGGCAGGCCCACTCTGCTCCACCCAAGTCCTCCACTCAGCCTGTCCTTTCCTTACGTCCCTCTCCCTCCTGCAATATAGAGTGACTTCAGGACAATCTGGCTGCAGGGAGAACTTGGCGTTGGAACGGCAGTAAGTTTACGTTTTATTTATTTAATTTTTTTTTACGTTTGAGGGGAGAGCAATCCAGGATAGAAAGGGTCATGCTAACCAAATTCAGGGTTTTCTTAAAGCACTGGCTTCTGGCTGGAGTAACCATTTAAAAGATTGTCAAAAAATTAAGTTTGTAATTGAAAGGTTTTTTTTGTTTTTTTTTTGTATAATATTAATAAGTATTGTATTTTGGAACTGTGGGCAGGGGGTAGTTAGGGGGAGGGAAGGTATCATATATATGAGTGTATGGTAGGTTCTGTACAGTAAAGTTAGTAACTGGTAGACAGTGTTATATTCCGGACGAATTAAACATGCACAGAATTAGAAAGAAAAGGAATTTAGTAATCCACCTCTACATGAAGCTACAGTGTTACCTGACAGGGGTTATTGTTAATAGATCGTGTTAGCTAATCAATGATTAATAAAAATAACTAAATATTGAGAATGGATGGGGGCATGGCCCAATATCTCTCTTATGAACTTTTATATGAATAATTAGATGCACCTCTTCACTGTCATCAAACGGTTTAGATTCGCTGCCAATTGTAGACAATTTGTAAATAGATGTTCAAACAGGGCTTTTTACTAAAGGGAGAATTGTTGCGAATTCAAAGTCAATTCAAATGAATTTCTAATTTAAAGTCAAAATGGAAAATCATCTCCAATTCGATTATGCTTCTAGTTGGGCTACTTTGGCCTTACGTTCACTGTGAATTCCCAACAGTTGTCACTTTAGTAAATAAGCCTGATGAATTCTCCAAAGATATTATCTAAGCATTATTTTTATGGTCAGCTAAAAAAGAACTTTGTATCTTGGGTGAACTGGGTATTTTTCAAAGTTTCTTGGCATAGCCTTAATTTTGCAAGTTTGACACATTTAGCAAATAGACCATTTGAACACAGGAACCTTTTAATAATATAACTTCTAAAAATCAGAAAATCAGAAATCGACTTTTGCAAATGTGGCTGGTGTGCATGCCTATGTTTAAGACATTGCCTCGGTTTTCAATAAAAATAGAGAAAGACATTCACTTCTTTATAGGTATGTTTAAAGACACAATGATTGAATGCAAAAGAATATATATATATAAATATTATTATATTTTACTATTGAAGGTAGTGTTACTACTGATTATGTTAGCAAATACGGAAATATCAGAAGAGTGTAAATGTCTTAAATCTTATTTTGTATCATACCTAAAATAATGTAAATGTTCAAAAATATGATGTGTTTTGCAATACCTGACTATTACATTAAACACACCTGTTTCTGTGCCACCGCTGTTTGCAAAGCACTGCACGCCTAGACTCAGCACACACTGTGATCGGTGTTCTAACTACATCACATTTACTTCTGTGTTGGCAATTCATTTTATACTAATTAGTAATGTTAAAGAATTCTATGCATTGGATATACCTGTGGATATTTGTAAAAAAAATGTGTGAAATAAAATTGTTTTTGTAAAAAAAAATATATTGAAAAACCTTGTTTCTTTGTACTGTTATGTGTTAAGTAGAACAAAAGCATTATAACTGAAGTATGCAAAAAATATATACGTAACCGATAAAAACAATTCTATCAGACTGTATTCTTGTAGTGGAAAACAAAGAAAAGGCTGCGCCAAGATACTAAACAAATAAAATAATTAAACGTAGTAAAAAAAAGAGTCCCAGTATAAAATAGTAAAAAATAATATAAAATAGTTCCAATATTAAAAATTGTCCAAACTGGTATGGTGTCTTCTTTGTTAGCAGTCGTCCGTCTCACGATATGAAAGACACAATGGGAAAAGAACCAATCGTGCAGATTGTATAAATAAGTGATAGTGAAATTAAAATATAAATTTCGCACTCACATTTCCATGAGCTAGGACTAGCTCTAGTATGATGGGCATACAGCGGATAACCCCCCGCTTATGGGGGTGCTTGTCCTCCTGGGGAGTGCTGATGTCCAGTTCTCAAAAGGAGAGAAAAACAGCAAATAGTGCTCTCTGATAAGGTAGTTGATAAGAGGTTAAAAAATAAATAAAATATACTCACAAATAGAGTGCAGTCCTTTCTGCACTCTGTATATCGCGTGGGTGGTATAATCCCCACCTTAGGATATGCCAGGAACAGTAAATGAAGATAAGATAGTAAAAAAGAATAAATAAATCTCTTTATATTATTTATTCTTTTTTACTATCTTATCTTGGCGCAGCCTTTTCTTTGTTTTCCTGTACATCTTCACTATAGAGGGTTAGAGGGTGACCCCCTATTAGGCTGCTGCCTCCTTATCCATTTTTTCCTTTTATTATTAGCGCTAACCTTTTTAACTTTTCTCTTGTATTCTTGTAGTGCTGGGAAAAAATGAGAAAATGTGAGGGCTCTGAAGAAATGAAACGTAGATTGTACTAGGTAGGGTTAAGTAGAGAATCAATATTGACAACATGCTCAGTGAAATAAGTTAATAGAACATGTAACACAACGTAGTGTGAATTGTTAGTAATTCAGATTTAGCAATTTTAAAATTCATATTCATGTTAAGTGAAGATGTAAATAGCTGAACTGAAGCTGATACAGAGTGTTAGCCATTTTGGCAGACATTATGTAATTTACTTTGAATTCTTGACAATTCACACTTTATTTAATGACGATTACCGGTTTCACTAAACCTGGAAATTTAACATTTTTAGGTTAAAATAATCAAGCTGCACATCCAACTCCTCGAATATGTACATGGAAATATGGACCCACTGGATACTGACTACTACCAAGGCAGAATTCACAACCAGACTCCAATACGACACGTAAGGACGCAGTGACGAGGCCGCATAGACCGACAAACACAGAGACGACCTAGACAGACGTGACCCAGACGCGGACGCACCCCGACCCCCTCACCTCCCCAGACGCCACTACCCTGACACCGCCCCCAATCCCAAACACTGCACACGAACAGACAAGTACTAGGCACACGCCAGTGACAACATAAGAGCGGACCTATAAGGCCTCCGTGGAGACGCTCACTCCCCCATGAGGGGACAACAGAACATAGGACACCCACATGCACGTTCTCCAGATCAGGCCACGGGCCTTAACGCTGGGCTCAAAGGGACCAGCGGACCCACCCTGGCACCTTAGCATTTACTAGAGGTAATGCCCGACCACCTTACTGCAACGAGACTCGTGGGCCCAACACACGACTATAACACCTGCTACATTGTGACCTGCGCGTCACCAATGCTGGTTTGGCAGACCGTCATTCCTTTCCAACGGCTGCTTATGTCCTACCCTGAGTGGACCTGCGAGTCCACACTGAAGTTTGCTTAATGTTACTTAACAAACGGATCAACTGAATACAAATGATAAACCAGTTTAGGGACAAGAACTGCATGCTGTAAGGGACCTGCGAGTCCACCGCAAATGTGGGCCTGTGCGCCCGAATGGTCGCCCTAAAAACGCTATACACATGTTGTGCTTTGGTTATTGTACCCTAAATGCATACGGAGACCTGCGAGTCTCAATGTGACTTACTTTCGACACTGTAAACCGAAATAAAAACATATTTACAAAAAAAAAATGATCAAGCTGAAAGAAATTCTCTAAAAACTATGTTTCTAGTTTGGGCTATTTTGGTCTAAAGTTTTTAACTCTCTTGTTAATTCCCAACAATTCCCCGTTTAGTGCACAACCCAGTGTGAGCTGTATTCACTAAACAGGGAATTGTGTAGAACCATCAAGGATTTTTAAACATTTTTTTTGTTACATTCTGGCCTACAATTCAGGGTTTAATAAATACACTGCAATAATAATTTAAACAATGATATAGAGCCCAGGCTGTACCAAAGGAAATGACTGAAAGAGTCGAAGAGAATGTCATTGCTTAGTCAATTGGTGGTTTTTCTTTATTAAAACAATAAAACTGAGGTGCATTTTGAATAATTAGACAAATGCAAAAATAAATAGAGTAAACACTCAGAAGTTAAATTGACACTTTGAGTACCTATACAAGTTTAATCCGTTTGGTAGATTTTGCCTGCATCAACATGCTGCATTTTAGTGCATGTTCAAATCTTTCTACATCGTGCAGAAAAAAAAAAACTTTCCCAGAATGCAACACCGTAAGCGTGCCATAAGTGGGATACCAGAGGACAAAAGGGCCAGGAAAATGTATTGTGCATATGTTTGAAGGCTCCTGGTGGGATTGCGTGTGTGTAGAGTGAGCTGATTGTAGTGTGGTGCTTTATATAAATAGGTTGGTTTCAGTTGTGTAGCTGTAGTGTGTATGTCAGGAATGTTGTGTGTGTAGGTTGTGCAGTGTGTGTCTATAGGTGATCTAATGTGTGTAGGGCAGAGTTTCCCAATTAATTTTTCCAGTGCCAGTACACCAATTGGGAAACGTTGGTGTAGGGGATCCAGAGTGTGTATAGGAAATCTAGTGTGTGTGTGTAGGTTGTGCAGTGTGTGTATTACGGATGTAAAATGATGTAAAAGATGTCTCTTTTTTTTTTGTATTTTTTTTTTTGCTACTGGACTAGATTGCCTGGCCGGCTAATAACAATTCGGAGCATATTGGATGTCTGTCTGTATGTCGTTAGGCAGGCAACAGGAATACAATGGCGGCAGGCCCACTCTGTTCCACCCAAGTCCTCCACTCAGCCTGTCCTTTCCTTACGTCCCTCTCCCTCCTGCGATATAGAGTGACTTCAGGACAATCTGGCTGCAGGGAGAACTTGGCGTTGGAACGGCAGTAAGTTTACGTTTTATTTATATAATTTTTTTTTTGTTTGAGGGGAGAGCAATCCAGGATAGAAAGGGTTATGCTAACCAAATTCAGGGTTTTCTTAAAGCACTGGATTCTGGCTGGAGTAACCATTTAAAAGATTGTCAAAAAATTAAGTTTGTAATTGTAAGTTTTTTTTTGTATAATATTAATAAGTATTGTATTTTGGAACTGTGGGCAGGGGGTAGTTAGGGGGAGGGAAGGTATCATATATATGAGTGTATGGTAGGTTCTGTACAATAAAGTTAGTAACTGGTAGACAGTGTTATATTCCGGACGAATTAAACATGCACAGAATTAGAAAGAAAAGGAATTTAGTAATCCACCTCTACATGAAGCTACAGTGTTACCTGACAGGGGTTATTGTTAATAGATCGTGTTAGCTAATCAATGATTAATAAAAATAACTAAATATTGAGAATGGATGGGGGCATGGCCCAATATCTCTCTTATGAACTTTTATATGAATAATTATGAACAAGATTAATTTAGAAATAAACAAAAATGTTTAAAAGTCTATCTGTTCCTGTCCAAATCTGAGATGAATAAATTGCGTATACGCAGAAGTAAGTTCACACTGACACATGCAGTTCAGGTTAAAAACACTTCAGGAAATTTATTAGCATCTAGTTAAAAAGTGGGCACGCAGGCCTTTTTATATGCAAAATGACATCATCATTGAATATCAGATAATAACAAATAAACATCATTAATTGGGTTAAATGTTAAGTGGCTATGTCAGTGTCCACCCATTAATATTATTAATTGGCTCAGAGATTTGAGTGACTAGTGAGGCACCCTCCCATCATGGGATGTCGTCGCCATTGCTCTTTAGCACGAGGCTTACTCGGTGGAAAGGGGGGCTTGGGCGTCATTTTACGTAGTTAGTGATGTCAGTCTCGTGGTCTGTTCCAAGGTTCTTTTATGAATAGAACATTTCATTTTGTCACTGTTCTCCTGGCCTTGGATTATACTATGTTGCAAGTCAACGGAGATCCGCTAACTCCGGGGCTAGTTATGTCCTTAGAGAGAGAAAATACAATCTCTTATTCATTATACTGAATACTGTCAGGAAATTCTGTCATGTAAGGTGAACAAAATGGAGTTAGTACAATAATTCAATACAGGTTCTAATAAAGATTTTAATAATTCTACATCAGTCCCCCCTATGAAATGTTAGATTCTAAAAGATAATCTTTATTTGTTAGTATCAGAAGACGTGTTAGCCCAAAGGCACAGAAACCCCGTGACCCGCTAGCTAGGTGTTATTGCAAAGTGCAAAGCTGTCCCTTCGTCTGTCCCTAATTGGCTAACTCATCTGTCCGCTGGGCACTCGAACACTTCACTCCATGGGTATCCCGAGGTGGCTAACCCACCACATCTCCGCACGGTAGACTTCCCAGACAGACAGATGCTGTCCCTAAGCTGGTCCCTTCCTAGAACTCTTGCACTTTATCAATAAACGGGATAGATTGTAGCGGTATACAGGGCGAGTTGACTTTTTGGAAATCTTGGTCATCAACTGTGAGGTGTGCGTAAGTGGGTGCCGCTTGGTCTACAGTCTTCAAGAGGAGCTTTCTCAGACAAGGGAGGACACAACAAACGAGAAGAGCAAAGATAAAAAGGAAAATTAGTATTGCTATACCAATATGCATCAAAGCTTTTTGCCATCCTGTCATCCAACCAAACCATCTCTCCCAGGGATCTTTTATCCCAGAGTTCCTCTTTAGCTCCTCAGAGAGCTCTTTCAATTTTCCTATAGCTAAGGTTACTTTACCATTGGGGCCTGTGTTTTCTGGGATGTAAGTACAACATGTCATGGTGTCAGGCAGAATTTTACATACCCCTCCTTTTTCTGCTAGAATCATATCTAAAGCCATTCTATTTTGGAATGACATTTGGGACGTAGCCTGCAACTGTTCGGCCAAACCCTGAAGGGCATCCCTGGTGTAATTAACAAACCGTTGTTGGTTGTAGTAGATGTAATTTATCCAGTTTAAATTCTTGTTTGCAGTGACTATGGTAAAAAGTGATTCAAATCCTGCAGCAACTTCATCCCTGGCTTTAAACTCATTGGGCACCCCCCTAGGTACCCTAATGGCATCAATGTAAATATGAGGGTTAAAACTGCCTTTTACTGGGGCTTTACGCTTTACCTTGGTTGGTGAGTGTTTGGACTCATGAGTATCGGGGTGTGTGTCAGAGATAATATGTATGGGCATGATTGCTTTAGACAGAGTACACTCCCCCCACCATTCTTTATCCATTCTTGATCTCAGCTGTGGATCCCCACACAACCAGTAAATATCCCCCAATGATCTAGTGTGGAATTGTAGGAGGTTCATAGAGACAGTTCTGTAGGTGGCACAATAACCTTTAGAGAAGTTACCCACAAATTTACCAATTCCATCATAATTAGCATAACAGGTATAATTACCTTTATAGACGGTAACACCATCTGGGGGTTTGCAATCTTTGACTAGAAGAGGATACTCTACTGTCCATGCTTTACATATGGACCTATTGAAATTGTAGTGATAGGCAAAAAAAACTCAGAACACATTCTTCTATATCTACTGGCAAAGTTAAAGGCACAGTGCCCAGGTGCGGCCGGGCACCACCACACACATAGCATGCGGTTCTGTTATGTTTGTTGGCATTATATTTCATCCATTCTAACCATAGATTAACATCATTGAAACCTGTTTCAGCGGCCATGGTATCTTCAAATGTTGGATTTGCAATGGCCATCATGTCTTTAAAAGATTGGATGTGTGGTTTCAACGGATTTGAGACCATGTGGGTGGTCCCTTTCCACTCAGGAGAGTGGCACATATCTTTAAGGTGGAAATGTCCTAATTTATTATAGGAACCCTTCTTCCAGTACATTCCCATTACATACTGGTCTGCATCCGTTGGGCTGGGATGCTCAATGTTTAAGATTAATTTCATAGGTATGCCTCCTCCGGGCTTTCTCAGAGTCATTCTCTGGAGGAGGGACCTACCGTGATCATCAATTTTAGATAAGACACTTTTTGGTTTGTAACCCCAGGCAGGCCCGGCATTCCATCCCGCCGCCCCCCAATGGTTACAGTTGTGCCCCCATTGTTTGTCAACTACACAAACATAGGGGTCTTTTGAATGAGGGATATCTCTATAGATATTCTGAATCTGTGACGTGGGGAATGGGCATTCTACGATGTCACAGTAGTCAAAAGTATAAGTAGCCACACGGGTACATGATGAATTATACCAGAAGGTGTACCCACTAGCATCTTTGGTGATGGCCACCTGCTGGGCTTTAAGGAGGCCAACTAAGGAGATAATGTACCAGAGGCACATGGTTGCATAGAGTTAGCTTCCTCTGGGGCAGGTGTCTTCTTGCAATGGGAAGCGTGGATCCAGTTAGGCCTTCCGGCCAATTTGACAGAGGTAGGGGAGATCAGGAGAACTTGGAACGGACATTTACTGTTTTCGCACAAATTTCTTGACCAGAACCCAGTCATCGGGGAGCAGACTGTGGTTGCCTGTGTCAGAATCAGGATCTGGAATTGAAGAGAAAACTTGGGCATGGATTTTGTTTAAGGCGTTTGCGAGTTCAGTTACATAATCTACTAAGACATCAGTTTGAAGTTGTAGTTGTTGGGGAAAATAGCAACCTAGCCTAGGTGCAGTCCCAAATAGAATCTCATATAGGGACAATGAGGTAGTATTTTTGTACAAGAGCATTCATTAGATCCTTTGATAAATGTGCAGGTCCGTGTGCCCATTGTACGACTGCTGGGTACAAATTCTTAGGGAGGCAGAACTTGAGGTTGTTGGAGTACACTCCATCCTTCAGAACTGCCCCTTTCTGTTTCCACTTCTGTATTTCTTCAGGGGCAACTGTAGCCTGTTGTTCCCGCAGGATTTTTAGGTCAGTTGGAAGAGTCTGCAGAGTAAATATGGGAGTTTCTTCATTTCCGGACACTCTTCTTTCCACTTCCTGTGGTTCTTTTGCAGCTTGTTTTGCAGCCTGATCAGCTAGATGGTTGCCCTTGCTTCATCTGAGTCCAACTTCCCATGTGCTTTTATCTTCAAAATAGCCACTTCTTCTGGGAGTAGGAGGGCGTCCATCAGCTCCTTGATTGCGGAACCATGCTTGATTGGTGTACCGGCGGTGGTAAGAAATCCTCTTGTTTTCCAAATTAATCCGAAGTCGTGAGCCACGCCCAGTGCATATCTTGAATCCGTGTAGATATTGGCGCGCTTTCCTTCAGAGATCTTGCATGCTGAAGTCAGGGCTTGCAATTCAGCTTCTTGTGCAGACATAGTTGATGGTAAAGATGATGATTTGACAATTTCATCTGTTGTGGTTACGGCATATCCTGTATGGTATCTTCCTTCTTCATCAGCATATCTTGAGCCGTCCACAAACAGGGTGAGATCGGGATCTACCAATGGGTCTTCATGCACAGTTGGTAGATGTGTTGTTTCCATTTTCATCTGTTCAAAACAGTCATGAGGTGTATCTGGGTCGTAGTCATTCACTATGGTTAAATCTTGGAACTCATTCTCCAGGAAATGACGCGGCCATGCTTTTAGGTGGTCAGTTGTTGGATATTTGACAACACCATTTTCCTGTAGCTGTAATTCGTCCATAGTGGCCCATGCTTTTGCCATAGGCCCAAGATCATTCCATGATATTGTTTTCAACTTGGTCACAGGGACATGTGGAATGGCAGTGTCCCAATGACGGTACAAATGCTTGAGTTCCGGAGGTAGATGAATCAAGACCATACTGTTGCCTTCAGAATCACAGTAGAAGTCTTGTGCAGTGAGTTTTACTTCGACCAGATGATAGAGTTCATCTTCATAGCAGGTTTCAGGAGTGATGTTTGATTTGTACCACATGGTACAGAAGGCATATCCTGCTCCGTCATGAAGGAGTGCTTGTCCATCATGAAAGGATAGGTTGGGATGCATTTCCTTCTTGATGGTGCCAGTGAGAAGAAAAACATAAGTTTCGTCCATGATGAATCCGTTTCGTCCATGATGAATCCGTAGTATACACCCCCCTCAGGGAGTGGCAGAAGAGTGGACGGATTGAGAACTTGACATCTTTGGAGGGTAATGTTGTCAGGCAACAAAAGATGACATTGAAGGCGAAGATGCCTAGCAGGAGTAACATGCTTAAGTTGGACCTGGTTGACTATGGCAGAAATGTCATGGGGGGCCAAGACAACCAGGGGGTGGCCAAGGACAAGATCTCCAGTTCTTTCAATGAGCTCTCTGGCAGCAAAGACGGCCCGAAGGCAAGAGGGACGTCCTCTGGCCACAATATCCAGTTGGCAGGAGAAAAATCCAATAGGCCCTTGGCGGCCTCCAGGACCATGGGCCTGAGTGAGCACTCCTGTTGCATAGCCTTGTCTTTCAGAAACAAACAATTTGCATGCCACTGAGCAGGCTGTCAATTTGGTGTCTTGAGCAGATGTGGGTGAGGAAAGTAAAGATGCTTGACGTACCTGATCTTCTGTAGCAACAGCAAATCCAGTATGGTACCTTTCCTCTTCATCCGCAAACAGAGTGGAGTCAGGATCTGGCAAAGCTACTGCATGCCTTGTTGAGAGGTGTCTTATTTCTTCTTTCATCTGTTCAAAGCAACCATGAGGAGTAGTAGAAGAGATATCCTCACCTATTTCTGTGTGAGATTGAGGGTATTTGTCTTTCCATTTACAGTTGTCTTGCTGCCCCCCCCTCTGTAGAGAGCTGATATCGATTTTTAGTGTTTCATGTTTTATTGAGTCAGGTTCCTTTTATGAGATTTCTGGGGACTTAGTGAAGAAAACATGAGGGGCAGCCACCTCCCAGTGATGATACAGGTGTCTTACTTCCATGGGAATCTGGGTCAGGACCGCACTATTTCCTTGAGAGTGCCCAAAACAGTATGAATAATAATTTTTTTTTTAGTGTGGTATTCCCCCCTGGGAAGTGGCGGAAGAGGGGCCAGAGCAACTTTTTTTTTTTTTGTTTTTGTTTTTTTTTCAAAATATAATGTTGTCAGGTAGGGGACAAGGTAGAGTAGAGAGAGGAGTAGGAGGAGGAGAAGGTGGAGTAGGAGGGAGGAGTAGGAGGAGTAGAAAGTGAAGTAGAGGGAGGAGTAGGAGGAGGAGAAGGTGGAGTAGAGGGAGGAGAAGGTGGAGTAGAAGGAGGAATAGGAGGAGTAGGATTGAATAAGAGGAGGAGGGAGGAGTAGGAGGAGGAGAAGGTGGAGTAGGAGGAGGGGAAGGTGGAGTGGGAGGGTTGGAATAGGAGGAGTGGAAGGTGAAGTAGAGGGAGGAGTAGAAGGAGGAGAAGGTGGAGTAGAGGAGAGGAGAAAGAGGAGGAGAAGGAGGAGGAGAGATAAGTAGAAGGAGGAGAAGGTGGAGTAGGAGGAGGGAAGGTGGAGTGGGAGGGTTGGAATAGGAGTGGAAGGTGAAGTAGGGAGGAGTAGGAGGAGGAGAAGGTGGAAGTAGGGAGAGAGAAAGAAGGAGAGGAGGAGGAGAGAGAAGTAGAAGGAGGAGAAAGGTGGAGTAGGAGGAGGTAGGAGGAGAGAGGTGGAGTAGAGGAGAAGGTGGAGTAGAAGGTGAAGTAGAGGGAGGAGTAGGAGGAGGAGAAGGTGGAGTAGAGGGAGGAGAAGGTGGAGTAGAAGGAGGAATAGGAGGAGTAGGATTGAATAAGAGGAGGAGGGAGGAGTAGGAGGAGGGGAAGGTGGAGTGGGAGGGAGGAATAGGAGGAGTGGAAGGTGAAGTAGAGGGAGGAGTAGGAGGAGGAGAAGGTGGAGTAGAGGAGAGGAGAAAGAGAAGGAGGAGGAGAGAGAAGTAGAAGGAGGAGAAGGTGGAGTAGGAGGAGGAGTAGGAGTAGGCAGGGGTGGGCAGGTAAGGGAGCAGACAGGTCTCCATATGGAGGCGTGGGTATGTAGCAGTGGAGGATACATCAGAAATCAGAACTAAGTAGAAATGCAATGGAGGCTGCAAATAGTCCATGTACAACAACTTTTAACTGGCCCTATGCTTTCCCTAGAGAAAAATAATAAAAGGCTAACAAGCACATCTGTCTGTACAGGCCTCGAACGCTTCACTCCGTGGGTATCCCACAGTGGCTAGTCCACTACATCTCCCACACCAGACTTTTGCTCGTAGAGACAGACGCTATCCCTGACTCTCTCTTTTTTTTTTTTTTTTAACCTATTATAAAATATAACTCTTACTTACATCACAAATATACATTATCGCAATTTTATGTCTCGCAAAAGGGATAAAACTTTTTTTTACTCTTCACTGATAATGTATTAAAACTTACAAAATAGACAAATAACATTGTTTTTCTGCGAGATAAATGAAAAAGATAATGGAGGTTTTGTTAAGCTTTACATTTAGCTATACATTAATTTATCCTTTCTGGTTTCCAGTTTCTCTCTGTTAATGACAATGTACAATGTAATAGAACAGCAGGAAAAGCTAGCAGAATGCTTGGTTGTATAGGGAGAGGTATTAGCAGTAGGAAGAGGGAAGTGCTCATGCCATTGTACAGAACACTGGTGAGACCTCACTTGGAGTACTGTATACAGTACTGGAGACCATATCCTTAGAAGGACATGGATACCTTAGAGAAAGTTCAAAGAAGGGCTGCTAAACTGGTTCATGGATTGTAGGATAAAACTTACCAGGAAAGGTTAAAGGATCTTATCATGTATAGCCTTGTGGAAAGACGAGACAGGGGAAATATGATAAAAGCATTTAAATACACAAAGGGAATCAACACAGTTAAAGTGGAGTCTATATTTAAAAGAAGGAAAACTACCATAACAAGAGGACATAGTCTCAAAAATAGAGGGACAAAGGTTTAAATAAAAAATACTATCAGGAAGTATTACATTACTGAGAGGGTAGTGGATACATGGAATAGCCTTCCAGCTGAAGTGATAGAGGTTAACACAGTAAAGGAGTGTTTAAGCATGCGTGGGATAGGCATAAGGCTAAGCACTTGCTGCTAGTAACAGATCTAGAATCAATACACTATAATGCCCAAAGTCTCGACTTCTATGCATATATAATAATAAAATATCTGGGCTTACATTAAAAAAAAATAAAAATATGTTAGTCAGTCTTTAATCTTGGTGGTTAACATTATCCAATAAAGACAGATTGGAACACCCTCCCCCCTTATCCATTTGTTAGTAGTTAGGCTCATAATGTTTTCTGGTTCTTTTCAATTAGATCAAAACATCTTGAGACCAATCTTTAATTGTATTACCATTTGTTCAAGAAATCTTTGTTTATTAGAAATTTCTTTTAGCATGTTATCAATTTTTTGTACACAAAGTTAATACATATTGTTACTTAACAAGTGAATCGGTATATATATATCCTTTCTACATATTAACCATCACTTGTCACAGACACTTTTCTGATATAGGGAAACATTAGCAGGATTATTTTAGTAATTGTAACTTTCTTGTTCATAATATGTGGGAATTAAGGAAGACAGCATGAAGATGAGCATGATAGGAGTAGATCTCGTCAGCCATGGATGGCCAGAACTGACACGATATATGGGCAGATATGACCTCACTAAGGGCAGAGTGAAGGCACTTAAGGACAACCTTCTTTTGTTCTAGGGGCCATTTTCCTTTAGGGCATACTAAGTCTCTCTGGAGGCGTGGGTTTCATGGGAAGTAACATTCTGTTCGGCAAAATGAAAATCTGAACTGTGGACAGACTTGACAGATTAAATAAGACAGTTGTGAATATTATACATCTAACAGCCCACAAAGCTGTCTCTAGAAACATATACTAACTTAATAACTTCTATTCCTGCATCAGATTCACTCCCTAACCATCCTATCAATTTCTATTGAGATAACAAAATACACAATTAGAATATTTTCTAGCAAAAATTTCATTGCTAAAATCTTATCAGTAGCTTCTGAATAACTCTACAGAACACCGAAGAGACAGACCTAAATCGCAAGCATGTCACCACCCCCCCTCCGCCCCCTCCCCCCCGCGTCTCACAGAAGCGAGGGGAGGGGGGGGGTGTTTTAGCAGAGGGGGATTTGAGTGGAACAAGAGAGAGACTGCCTGCCAGCACGAATTTAACCATGTCAACGCTGTACAGTAACAAGACAGAAGGACAATTACATTACAAAGCAAAAACACAACATTTCATTTAAACCCCCACCCTCTACCAGGGTAATGGCTAACACAAAATACAAAAACCCCACAGCGTTTTAAGATTGGGGTGGGATGGTGACCATGGTCAGCTACATTTCGGTCATTACTGACAGGATGATGGAAGTGGTCACCTCCTGGAACCCCCGACAGGGCACTGGCTGGGATAACTTCCCAGTAACACAATTATTATGATATACATACAGTTCTTAACCCTTTATGATTTATCTCTTCCTCTACCCAACCCTCCTGCTGGATAGCCTTTCTACTCTGTACCATGCTTCAGCAGTACGCAATAAATCATTATCTGTAAGCTTGCCTTTCTTCTCTGTCAGTAATCTACGCCAGCTTTCTGGCTGTAATCTACCACATGAAGGCACAGCAATTTTACACACTTTAACAATCTTTGCAACATTTTTAACCAGTTCTTCACCTTCTCTATCTTCAACTAAATCACACGCGAGCCAGCCCCTAGCGGGCTTACTCGTTTCCTGTCCCATATCCCCCTATACAAAGCGTCCCAAGTATAGGTAAAGGAAAATGAAACAGAACGTCTACAATGCTCGACTGCCACTAGGAAGGGTGGGTCCCTCCCAGTGCGTCTTCCCAAAGCGTAGACCAGTCACTGAATCCGTGTACCCTCGATGGTAACCACGGATTGGAGCGGGGTGAGAAGTGTGTGACCAATCACTTCTCTTTCAAGAGAAATAGGAGTGGATAGTGTAAATAGTACAGGAAGTAGAGGAAAAGTAAACAGTGAAAGTAGAGACAAACCCAGGAGTTTGAATGACTCCACACTTAAGACAACATTTAATACAACATTTCAATTGAAATACAGTGCATGCATCAACAGTAATCCCTTTCCTTTACTCTTGTGGCCACCAAGACCACCTCCCTCAATCTCATAGTGTCCCCGCTCGGAGAACAACTTTCGTAAGTTTCACTACCAGCGGCCAAGGATAACGACTAACACCGGCCCGAAATCCATATGCCTCCCTCGTTACAGCAGTCCACTAAGTGTGGCCACCTCTATCCTCACTCCCGTAGTGCTCCCTATGGACCCACCCACAAGTCACACTACCCCGTGGTGATGGAGACAACAATGCCTGCCCGAATCCACACACCACAAATAAATTGGAATGCCACCAGCCTCAGCGCTCGAAGCTGGAGGGTACCATAACCTCTGCAAGCAGAACAACGTACACAATGAGGCTAGCTAGAATATCAAAGTGACGTAACCGGGAAACCCCAGGAGGCAAGTCCCCTCCACAGAATCCCCCAACCCTTCTTTTTCCTTACTACTGTTAGCTAGACAGTACCTAAAAGAAGTAAACAGGAAAACAGGACCCCTTTGGAAAATCCCCACAGGTCCACCCCCCCTTTTTTTCCCAACAGTCTGGGCCAAGTGACTCCTTAAAAGGGGTAAAAACAGGCAACAGAAGACCCCCAGGCAACCACCCACGGGTCCACCCCCCTTTATCTCTAAAGAGGGAAAGAACAAAACATATACCACTAGCACACCCAGGCAACAGATAGACTAAATGCAGGTAAACAAATGGGTAACAAGACACCGGGCAAGATATTACCTGTCTTTGATGCCCTCCCGGGAAGCAGTCACAGACACGTGGCTCCTGCAGAAGTCTCTACCGTGTACTCAGAGGTGATCAGTCTCTCTTCCTTCCCCCCTGATTCCTCCGTCCAACAGCGTCTTCCTTAGGACGGCTTACCGACGGAGGCCATAGCCCGATGCCCCACGTTGGATGGACGCCAGATTGAACAAGATTAATTTAGAAATAAACAAAAATGTTTAAAAGTCTATCTGTTCCTGTCCAAATCTGAGATGAATAAATTGCGTATACGCAGAAGTAAGTTTACACTGACACATGCAGTTCAGGTTAAAAACACTTCAGGAAATTTATTAGCATCTAGTTAAAAAGCGGGCACGTAGGCCTTTTTATATGCAAAATGACATCATCATTGAATATCAGATAATAACAAATAAACATCATTAATTGGGTTAAATGTTAAGTGGCTATGTCAGTGTCCACCCATTAATATTATTAGTTGGCTCAGAGATTTGAGTGACTAGTGAGGCACCCTCCCATCATGGGATGTCGTCGCCATTGCTCTTTAGCACGAGGCTTACTCGGTGGAAAGGGGGGCTTGGGCGTCATTTTTCGTAGTTAGTGATGTCAGTCTCGTGGTCTGTTCCAAGGTTCTTTTATGAATAGAACATTTCATTTTGTCACTGTTCTCCTGGCCTTGGATTATACTATGTTTCAAGTCAACGGAGATCCGCTAACTCCGGGGCTAGTTATGTCCTTAGAGAGAGAAAATACAATCTCTTATTCATTATACTGAATACTGTCAGGAAATTCTGTCATGTAAGGTGAACAAAATGGAGTTAGTACAATAATTCAATACAGGTTCTAATAAAGATTTTAATAATTCTACATCAATTAGATGCACCTCTTCACTGTCATCAAACAGTTTAGATTCGCTGCCAATTGTAGACAATTTGTAAATAGATGTTCAAACAGGGCTTTTTACTAAAGGGAGAATTGTTGCGAATTCAAGGTCAATTCAAATGAATTTCTAATTTAAGGTCAAAATGGAAAATCATCTCCAATTCGATTATGCTTCTAGTTGGGCTACTTTGGCCCATTCACTGTGAATTCCCAACAGTTGTCACTTTAGCAAATAAGCCTGATGGATTCTCCAAAGGTATTATCTAAGCATTATTTTATGGTCAGCTAAAAAAGAACTTTGTATCTTGGGTGAACTGGGTATTTTTCAAAGTTTCTTGGTATAGCCTTAATTTTGCAAGTTTGACACATTTAGCAAATAGACCATTTGAACACAGGAACCTTTTAATAATATAATTTCTAAAAATCAGAAATCGACTTTTGCAAATGTGGCTGGTGTGCATGCCTATGTTTAAGACGTTGCCTCGGATTTCAATAAAAATAGAGAAAGACATTCACTTCTTTATAGGTATGTTTAAAGACACAATGATTGAATGCAAAAGAATATATATATATAAATATTATTATATTTTACTATTGAAGGTAGTGTTACTACTGATTATGTCAGCAAATATGCAAATATCAGAAGAGTTTAAATGTCTTAAATCTTATTTTGTATCATACCTAAAATAATGTAAATGTTCAAAAATATTATGATGTGTTTTGCAATACCTGACTATTACATTAAACACACCTGTTTCTGTGCCACCGCTGTTTGCAAAGCACTGCACGCCCAGACTCAGCACACACAGTGATCGGTGTTCTAACTACATCACATTTACTTCTGTGTTGGCAATTCATTTTATATTAATTAGTAATGTTAAAGAATTCTATGCATTGGATATACCTGTGGATATTTGTAAAAAAATGTGTGAAATAAAATTGTTTTTGTAAAAAAAAAAATATAATGAAAAACCTTGTTTCTTTGTACTGTTATGTGTTAAGTAGAACAAAAGCATTATAACTGAAGTATGCAAAAAATATATACATAACAGATAAAAACAATTCTATCAAACTGTATTCTTGTAGTGCTGGGAAAAAATGCGAGGGCTCTGAAGAAATGAAACGTAGATTGTACTAGGTAGGGTTAAGTAGAGAAACAAT